TCCAGCGGTTATGATTGATTAGTTCCTATTCTACCCCAAAGCGAGAGTGTTTTATAATATTGTTCACACACATAGTCGAACCCCCTTTCATTAAAACAGCTCAGGGCAGACAAAGCGATGCTTATTCCATCTTAGCTGTTTAATTCTTTCCTGCTGAGAATTTTTACTGCTGTGGAATGTTTAAGAAAATAAGCAGCTAGTCATCACATTCATTTAGTAAACAGAATTTTTACAGTTTCTGAAGAAAGCATGAGTCATGCTTATACACGCAAAACTAACCGCCATGATGATAGGGTGTTGTGGGTGGTTGCCAGGGTGTTGCTATGCAGTTGCTAACATGTTCTCGGGGGTTGCTTGGGTGTTGCTAGAGTGTGCTGGATGGTTGCTAGGTGGTTGCTGTCTAGATATGGGATAGGTAACTCAATGAAGTGTAATAGGCCTACTTAGATTGGTTTTCAAATCCCCAGTAATAAGTATGATCTAACTAATCTCGACTTCCAGTGATCCCCCTGCAATTAGCATGTATGGAACACATCAGAATTTACTTTTTGACAACTATTGTTATTTATAATTAAACTTACATTCAGCCAAAGTGAGAACACATTATTAACATGTGCATATTTCATTAAATGCGAAATCTCTTTGGTTATGTTGAAATGATTATAATTTTTTTTAAATAGTGATTTTATTTAGTAACACTTTATTTAACAGTGTCTTTGTTACATGTAGATACTATAGTAATAAATAAATTATGCATAATTACAAGCAAATAACCCCAAACCTAACCCTAACCATCTAGTAAGTACAAGTAGTTAAACAGCCTGCTCTCACATAAATGCGTCTCTATAGCACGCATTGTGTTTTATCGTGCAATTTATACGCAAAACTGAGTTTTTACGTGCATATGATACGCAGTTCATTTGCGTGTAATACACACGCACCCCACACCACTAATTCTACCCAAACGTATAATACACACGCACCCCACACCACTACTAAACCTACCCAAACCACCCCATGCGTATCCTATGCACGTAAAAACTCATTTTCGCTTATAAATTGCATGATAGGCACACTGCGTGCTATAGAGACGCATTTAGTGTGATCGGGTTGAGTTAAAGGGTTAGTTCACCCAAAAATGAATATTCTTTCATTATTTACTCACCCTCATGTTGTTCCAACCCCGTAACACTTTCGGTCATCGTCAGAACACAAATTAAGATATTCTTGATTAAATCTGAGAGCTTTCTGTCCCTACATTGACAGGTACGCAACTACCAATTTGACGCTTTAAAAAGTTCATAAAGAGATCGTAAAACTAATCCATATGAATTGAGCGGTTTAGTCCAAATTTTCTGAAGAGACTCAATTGCTTTTCTTGCGGAAGCTCAAACGTGCTGCGTAACAGTTGCGTAGTTGTCAACGGAGGGACAGAAAGCTCTCAGATTTCATCAAAAAAAATTCATTTGTGTTCCGAAGACGAACGAAAGTCTTACGGGTTTGCAACGCCGCGAGGGTGAGCAATTAATGACAGAATTTTCATTTTTGGGTGAACTAACCCTTTATTAATATTACTCAGTACCTAAATGTATTATTACACCTTTAAAATAAAATGTAACCCTTTATATTTGTAAAAAAAAAAAAAAAACTCCTTGGTTCAGCACAAATCACTAAAAATGAAATATTTTGGCTTCAAAATGTTGAAATTCATCAAAAAAGGTGACCATTAATTTTGTTCTTACAATAAACTGGAACACAATTGTGAATCTTTGGAAGTTCAATTCAAAATCCATTCGCCTCAAATTCTGAGAGGGCACTTGCTCCCGCCTCCCGACATTAATAGTGATGCATGCTTTACCAAACACCCCTGATACCTAAAAAAAAGGCAGGTTTGGGCTTGTAGTCTATAATCAGGCTCCCGGACACATGTGTGGAGAGGAGAGGGGCAGTTGGCGTGGAGGAGGGATGCAGGAAGAATTGTCAGGAGTGTGACAGGTAGTTATTTATAGATCCCTTTCCTTGTGATAGAACATACTGCCCCCAAACTTTCATTAAGAACTACATCTGCTGCGAACAATGGCAAACTTTAACAAATAGTTGCCAGGCTGGCCGACTTCACGAGCTTTGAAGTTTACATGGCATGCGTTTGTATAACAAAAATGTGAGTAGGACGCAGTGTAAGTAATGCCTCCCTTCCTGTTGAGTCACGCCGACCTTGTACAAATGGTTGAGCTTCAGCACAGTACATGCACCTTTCCCACATACTGTATGGGTCATCACGCTTCTGCTAGAACACACATGACCTAATGTGTTGTATGCGTTTCTTTGGTCTGATGCCCGTCATGAGAACTAGAAGCAATTGCGGTCTCTCCCCTGCCATTTAACTGAGAGGAATGCAGATATATTGGTGGATTAGATTGAAAAAAAGATGCTTTGAAATGCTCACAAAAGCTTGTGGATTCACCTACTCGTTCAGTTAACATGTGCCATGAATATCAAACCAGAGACACTTGAATTCAAAACATATCTCAGATGATAGGATGAGGACTTTCTGTTAGAGAGTAGAACCGGTGATTATGATTGATTAGGATGAAATGATAATGATCATGATGAAATTGCTTGCCACGCACGATCATATTTTATCTTCAGCCACTGTAGTTTTTCACTTTAAAGACGCTGTGTGAACGTCACAAACTGAGTTAAAATTCAGCGTGCAGTGGAATGCTGTGAAATGGTATAAGGCGTTGACTCTCGTTCAAAATAGAGTATTCAAGAGCAGGTGTTTGTCTCACACATCATCATTTCTTCACACTCACACATTTTGACTGACAGTTAAATGCCAGAAATAGACGTCTCGCTAATCAGACTGCAAACAGTGAGTCCTTCTGGAGGAGCGCTCCTCGCAAGATTTATCTCACGCCACTATCTGAAACAGACATCAGGCACTTCATTCAGAGAAATGCTTGCTCGGCACAAAACAGTAGTCTTGCCTGATTTGGGGAGCTAATATTCGTTTGTCAGCCGTTTTCGTTTATTAGTAAAAAAAACCCATCATAATTAATTCATTTTCTTTAATTTGGTGGTATAATTGAAATCGATTAGGTTTGCATGAAGTAAAAGAAGTTGTTTTGTGGGCAATATTTGCCAGCAGTGGGGTTTGAAATAGTACATTTATCCATAATTTGACAACAGCAAGTTGTGTCATACTGTACCTCAAAATCTAAAGAAAAAAAAAACGATAGGAAGGATAGGAAAGGATAGGAAGTATAATTTTCCCTGCTCATTATTGTAATGCAAAAAAAAAATCTCTTATTACTGTAATGTGAAAAATTATAATAAATATTATTTTATGTAATACAGTAAAAAATACCACATTAAATTAATATGAATCTTATAAAAAAATAATGTTACAATACAAAAAAAATCTCATATTACTCTAACGTGATAAAATATATTTCATATTATAAATGTTTTGTGATACAGTAAAATACTATATTGCATTAATGTGAATAAAATGTCTTTAATTGTGTTTAATTGCTATAAAAACAATGTCACAATGAAAAAAAATCTCATTACTGTAATTTGAAAAATATATATTATATATTTTGGTAATAGAGTAAAAAAAAATATTACACCAATATGTATATAATGTCCTTAATTGGGCTTAATTTTTATAAAAAAATCTCATATTACTGTAATGTGAAGTATATATATATTTTATATTATAAATTTTTGTGATACAGTAAAAAATACTATATTGCATTAATGTGAATTTAATGTCCTTAATTGTGCATAATTGCTATAAAAACAATGTCACAATGAAAAAAATCTTATTACTGTAATTTGAAAAATATATATTATATATTTTGGTAATAGAGTAAAAAAAAAAATACTACACCAATATGTATATAATTTCCTAATTGGGCTTAATTTTTATAAAAAAAATCTCATATAACTGTAATGTGAAGTATATATATATATATTTTATATTATACATTTTTGTGATACAGTAAAAATACTATATTGCATTAATGTGAATTTAATGTCCTTAATTGTGCATAATTGCTATAAAAACAATGTCACAATGAAAAAAAATCTTATTACTGTAATTTGAAAAATATATATTATATAATTTTTTATACAGTAAACATACCATTACATTAATGGCAATAATGTCCTTAGTTGTGCTTAATTGTTATAAAAAACAATGTCACAATGCAAAAAATCTCATATTACTGTAAGGTGATTTTTTTTATTATTTTTTTTTGTAATACAGTAAAATAATATATTACTTTAATGTGAATCTAATGTCCTTAATTGTGCTTAATTATTATAAAAAAAATAGTCGCAATGCAAATAATCTCATTACTGTGATGTGAAATATATATATTATATTATTTTCTACAGTAAACATGCTATATTATATTAATGTGAATTGAATGTCATTAATTGTGCTTAATTGTTACAGAAAATAATGTCACAATGCAAAAAATCTCATATTCCTGTATATTCCTGTATTCCTCATATTCCTGTAGCTTCTCCTCTGCTGTACATTTGTGTGAGGTGTGTGTGAGACAGTGTGACAGTGACCTTTCTCAAGAGGGCCGTCAGTCTGTGAAGAACCCACCCAACCCAGTTGTGCCAGTAGAGCCGCATACCTGACGTTCACATCGTGACTGCAGTATTCTTTCACTGTGTGCTCTGTGTCGACAGCTGACATTAAAACATACTTGAAGATGCAAACTCATAGTTATTGTTTTAGGTTGCACATAAAAAAAAAAACCTGTAGATTGAGATGCCTGGCATAACATGCTCAAATTAGCAATGAATGTGTCCTGGATTGCTTTTCATAATCATGCTGTCTACATCTGTGTATTCTTACCCATATTAACAGAGCCCAAGTGTGTCTGTGCATTTATATGTAGGCTACACAAACACTGAACCCCCACACAAGCTTTAGAAGAGGTCCGTGTGAGGCATTAATTCTCGTCCTCTCACAGGAAACAGATGCGTTTGGTGAAGAGGAGATGGAAGGATGTACGGGTGGGGGATTTCGTGAGAGTGCTCTCTAACCAGATCATCCCAGCTGACATCCTGCTCCTGCACACGTCCGACCCTAATGGAGTGTGCCACATGGAAACAGCCAATCTGGATGGAGAGACCAACCTCAAACAGAGGAGGGTGGTGCCAGGCTTTTCGACTCTGGTAAGTGCGCTGCCGATCACAAAATACCTTAGGGAGAAGTCTAAAGCTTACAGCTACAATGAGCCCATTATGTGCCACAGTTAAATATTCACAAATGTCAGTATATGTTTCAATGCAAAATTGGAATAGCAACATTTGTGAAGATTCAAATCATTTTTTTAAAGTCGGTTTAATGTAATTTAAGTTGAAATGACTTAAACATCCCAGTTGATTGTACATAAAAATGTACAGTACATCCAGCGAGTCGAAGAGAACAAAATCGTCACATTGGATAAACCGGCGCTACATTTTACTAAGAACATTAGGAGATGATAAAAAAAAAAAAATTGGTCCGCTGGTTATTCCAGTTAGGTCGTTCCTTTTGCAAAGTCACATGATTTGTTTGAAGCGCGTCAAGGAATTTGTTCTGTAAATGTGTTTCCATCATAGTTTCTGCTCATGTTTCCTTATCGGATAAAAAAATGTATCCGACTCAAACGAGCGCATACGTTTTTTTACGCACATTTTTAGAATCTATGCGCGTCTTTGCATTTCCATGCGATGTCACAAAATATGCATAAGAATAGGTGTTTAAAGTATTAAATCAAGTGGAATATATAGTATTATATAACTATAGAACTGTTGGTAACAGAAGTATATTCCAGAAGTTTCAAGAATAAAATAGTGTTAATAAAACAGTTGTGCTGCTTAATATTTTTACGGTAACCATGATTCATTTTTTTCAGGATGATTTAATAAACAGAAAGATAAAAAAAAAACAGTATTTATTTGAAATAGAAAACTTTTGTAACATTATAACATCTTTTGACATTTGTAACATATATATATATATATATATATATATTTCGTTTTCAATCAATTTAATGCATCCTTGCTGAACAAAAGTATTAATTTCTTACAAAAAACTTAAAAAAAAAACTTAAAAAAACTTACTGACCCCAAACTATTTAAGAGATGTGCACATCATTTTAGTTTTTTAAATCGCCACCATTTTATATTTTTGACAGCTTGTAAAGTTTCATTACACACGTCAGGTCACAAAGTTTATAAAAGCATAACTCTTCATTATGAGTCAGCCAATGTCAATAGATAACTCAAAACTCCCAAACACTCACATTCCTGACATACAAGTCTGAGTGGCACACAAACACGTTACACTGCCTTCTGTCTTTGAACATGTACATGTTTCTTTTGGCCATGTGTTCCTGACTGCTCAGTTTTGTTAGACAGCCCTTGATAGTCAGCTCAAATTACAATATAATTAAAACAACGAGGATATAGAAGGAGGAAATCATGCTTGGCATCTTTCTTGTGTGTTTCAGGGCAAACCATTCCAACCTCAAACATTTTCCAGTACTGTCGTGTGTGAAAACCCCAACAACAACCTCAACGTGTTCAAAGGTTATGTGTGAGTATCTGAAATCAATTTCACTCAATTTCATGCTCGATTAAATACATCACGACTCTATCGTGACTGCCTCTTTTGTCAGATCCACACCGATGAGCAGAATTTGTTTGGCCTTCACATCTGTCATTTCCTAATCAGGGAAACTTCTTAAACCCTCCGATGCGTCACAAAGGAAAACATGTTAACGTCTCTCGTTTTTTAAATTAAAAACAAGTACATAACCAGTTTTCTTGTGAGAGGTACACATCGGTCCACTATGGAACCCATTACTGCCACATATGAAAAAATGCTTTGTAAATCATAATTATGACATAAAAAGTCAAATCATGTCATAATTATGGTATGAAAAGTCAAAAATATTATGACATAAAGTCATTTTAAGACATAATTTCGACTTTATAATCTCATAAATAAGATTTTGTCATAGTTATGACTTAGTATGTCATAATTTCGACTTTATCTCATAATGACATAAAATCAAAAAAATTAAGAACTTAATTTAAAAGTCATCATTTCAATAAAAAGTGAACATTTACTTAGTATGTCCTCATTTTTTTTTAATCTCATATACTTATTACTTAGAATGTCATAATTTCAAATTATCTTATAATTTAGACTTTTTACATCATAAATATTTATGTTTATTTCATAATTATGACTTAATTTTTACTTTATCTCATAATCATTTAATCTCATAAATATGACCTAGTATGTCATCATTTTGACTTTTTATCTCAATTATGACGTAGCATGTAATCATTTTGACTTTATCTCATAATTTCAGCTTTTTTATAATTTCGACTTTTAAATCTCATAAATATGACTTAGTATGTCATCATTTTGACTTTTTGTCCCATAATATGGCATAAAAAGTGAACATTTACTTAGTATGTCCTAATTTTTTTTAATCTCATATACTTATTACTTAGAATGTCATAATTTCAAATGATCTTACAATTTAGACTTTTTACATCATACATATTTATGTTTATTTCATAATTATGACTTAATTTTTACTTTATCTCATAAGTATTTAATCTCATAAATATGACGTAGCGTGTCATCATTTTGACTTTATCTCATAATTTCAGCTTTTTTATAATTTCGACTTTTAAATCTCATAAATATGACTTAGTATGTCATCATTTTGACTTTTTTATCTCATCATTCTGCCTTTTTATCTCATAATTATGACTTACTGTCATTATTATGATTTACCAAAGCATGAAATGGGCTTCCATAGTCCACTGCAATATATTTGCGAGGTTGACGCATCAGCAGTTGCCATGCCATCTGCCATGTTGAATTCATCTTGTCATAAATAATAAATACAAAATATAAAGAGGACATTTGTCTACAATAATGGGTAAGACTCGATGTAACCTCTACCTACACCAACATCACAGGTTTAAATTGCCGTTGCAAAGTTTCCCCACACAGCCTGGACATAAAGTAGGCTGACAAACCGATTTGGCCCTTTTTTGGTCCCGTTGCAGTCATATTAACTGGTTTATCACGCTGAGAGATGATTGTGATGTTCCCAAGCATTATAAAGCTCTTATCCTGCTCTTCCATTCAAAGACGGGCCCGTTACTCACGTGGCACACACTGAGGTAATTAGTCTGGGTGACTAAGGAAGATGCTGTGTTTGATGTCACAGGGAGAGGCCTGATAAGAGGAGAACAGGCTTCGGCATCGATAGTCTTCTGCTGCGCGGGTGCACAGTGAGAAATACTGATGACGCAGCTGGAATAGTGGTGTACGCAGGTACATTTCATCATCACATTTCCTATACCCTCCACAGAACTGTGTGTTCACATGGGATACACTAAAATACACTACATATACAAAAAAAATGTGTGGAGATGCACATTAAACATTTATTGTTTTTAATAAAGTAACGAATCATAGTAGCGTCGTACTATAGTAATGTGGATGTACCACACAAGGATATTTTGATATTAGTCATGGTGCTAAATGTTAACCATGGTACTTTCTTGTTTTTTTTGTGATAGTAAATGTCCATTATTACCATACCATTACCTTTATTACCATAGTAAATTTATTAGTAATTTGGATAATGTCAAATGTATTGTACCATTCAATTTTTTTACAGTTTTATTCAGTAAGGATGCATTAAATTGATCAAAACATTAAAGACATTCGTAACGTTACAAAAGATTTCTGTTTCAAGTAAATGCTGTTTGAACTTTCTATTCATCAAAGAATCCTGAAAAATATATAATATTATCCCAAAAAAATATGAAGCAGCACAACTGTTTTCAACATTAATAATATTCAGAAATGTTTCTTGAGCAGCAAATCATCATATTAGAATGATTTCTGAAGGATCATGTGACACTGAAGACTCGAGTAATGATGCTGAAAATTCAGCTTTGCATCACAGGAATACATTATAAATATATAAGAATACAAAACACAGTCCTTACTGTATTATTTTTTTTTTTTGTTCAGATAAATGCAGCTTTGGTGAGCATAAGAGACAAAAACATTGAAAAATATTACCAACCCCAAACTTTAATCACTTTCACATTCTTTTCTTTAGTTTTCCCATTTATCATCTGTAAGCTGTTTTGTTTTTATAAACCACATTGTACATTTCCGTTCATCATCATTCATAACGATAAAGCCTAATATACTGTGACTCTAACATCTAATAGTGCAATAAGCCCATGCTATACAGCCAGACTCTTTTTTTTTCTTTCTCTTAAGTCTTTAACATCCCATTTACACTGGCAGTGACGCAAAAAACTAGAACGTTCTCCCATTATAATCAATGAAGCCGTCTATAGTGCAAACGTGCGTAACAGCTTAGTTGATTGTAATGGGGGTATTATAGTTTGTTCTGTCGCGTCGCACACTCGCAGTGTACTTGTGTCTTGAAAATGGCATTGTCTGTTTCTTCCTTGATAAATTATACACACGGTATGGCTTGTAAATGGTTGTTGCTATTTTACAAATGTTGTTGTTTTTACATCGTGAGTTATTCATTACAGGCCAGGAGACCAAATCCATGTTAAACAACAGCGGGCCCAGGTACAAACGCAGCAAGATTGAGAGGAAGATGAATACGGATGTTCTCTTCTGTGTGCTTCTTCTATTTTTCATGTGTCTCATCGGAGCCCTGGGTACAGTACGGGGAACATCCCCCTCGATAATTCAAAACGCACTACACGCACATTACTTCAACATACAAGCTCCAAAATGACACTTTGATTCTGAACTCCAAGACACTTCGGTCTGTGTCTGTTCTTCTGATCTCGCAACAGTCCACAGAGATAAAGAATAAAGTGCTTTTACAACCTCACACAACCCTCACGCTCTCTTTTCCTTCTGTAAGGCATGAGCCAAAGAAGGACACTACAGATACCCAGAATAGCTCCCTCATACACTGGTCTCTTATGAAAGCAATGATTATCCTAGCTGTCTTTCTCTGTGGTTCAAGTTCAGTGATGCTTTATTGGAATATCTGCTTTATTGGAATACAGTACTGTCAAAAGCAATGTCATTAATGAATGTAAATGTCTCTCAGGCCATTCTATCTGGTTGGAAACTTTTAGCACCATGCCCTCATACATCGTCCCTGACAGAAATGGCAATTATACTCCTTCAGTACTAGCGGGATTTTACATGTTCTTCACAATGATCATCTTACTGCAGGTACACAATCTGTCACACACGGGATATGTTAAAGACATTGAGTGAAAGTAATGGCCAGTTTCTACCGATAGGTTTACATGAATTTACCATAAAAGGTTCTTTATTGGCATCGATGGTTCCATGAAGACCTTTCAAATCAATGGAATCTTCCCATTGCACAACAGGTTCTTTATATCGTATTTTAGATTATTATATGTTCTTCACACTAAGAAGAAAATGGTTATTTTAAGATCCGTGCACTGAAAGGTTCTTTGGGGAACGCAAAATGGCTCTTCTATGCATCACTGCGAAAACTCCCCTTTAGGACCTTCATTGATTGTGATTTTAAACTCTATTCAGACATCCCACATTTTGTTACCAATGTTGCAAGAGTTGCCAATCTCATATCAAATAAATATAAATATCTTGACAATCAGTACAGTGTTTCCTGAAGGTTAAGCATTTTCGTTCTGCTAATACAATTTTTATGAAGCTTTATATTGTACCCTGTTCATGACAATTGCCAAAGATTGACACTGCAGGTGTTTATCTGGCTCTTAACACTAATTATTCCAGGACTTTCTCTCTAGGTGATGATTCCTGTGTCCTTGTATGTGTCCATTGAGCTGGTGAAGATGGGGCAGATCTTCTTCATCACTCAGGACGTGGAGCTTTACGACGAGGAGCTGGATAGTCGGGTCCAGTGTCGTGCTCTGAACATCACAGAGGACTTGGGACAGATCCAATATGTCTTCTCAGACAAGACAGGGACGCTTACAGAAAACAAGATGGTGTTCAGACGCTGCTCCATCGTGGGGACTGAATACTGTCACGAGGAGAACGGTGCGTTGAGAGCTTCATTCTTCTTTTCTTTTTTACATATTTTATACGTTTTTATTGCTCTACAATATTTATCTTTTCTATTTTGATTTTGTTCATGACCATTTTGTTGTTTTTTATGACTATTTTGTGTTTTAGTTCGATGTTTCATTCTGTTTGCTGTTTATTGTTAATATTATCTTAAGGAATAATAAGGACAGGTTTTATTTTTGGCATCCCTCAGCTGCTCGCTTGGCGGTTGTCAGTGGAGCAAATGAAGAGGAGGAAGACACTCTCTACCAACAGACAAAGCTTCCTCCTCTCTTCCCTCTGGAAGGATTACAGGACAGCCACACAGGAGACAAAAATCACGCCGACACTCAAGTCACAGCTGCCAATCGACGCAGATCAAGAGTGTCAGCGGGAGCCCAAAGTGACATGGCCTTCAGCACTCCTCTGGTGAGATCATAGATCAGAAGATGCTGATATCTGTGTTTCAGGGTGAAGATTGGGAATTCAGGATGATTTGTTTTGAAAGAAACGTCTTTTTCATGCTCTCCTAAAATTAGCTGGATATTTCGATGTAATGGCAATTTAGGGTACGTTTGCACGACAACGATGTACTCAAAACTGAAACGTTTTTTCTTTGTGTTTTTGAGTGTACAGAATGACAACTTTGTCAAAATTATCCCCGTTCACACGGATCCGCGAAAATGACAAAAAATGCTGTATTATTCATGCCAGGCCACTAGTTGAAAATGTCACTTTGTAAAGAAACGAACGCGCCTATAGACTGAACACGTAATACGCATACACATGACGTCACCGTTTTCACAAATTCGCGTTTTTGTTGTTTACACGGAGACGATAGCGGGATCGTTTTCAGAAACTTGCACTTTAAATCCCGATTTCTAAAGTTCGCGTTTTCAAGCCCCCAAAACGCCGTTGTTGTGTAAATGAACGGCCAAAATGCATAAAAAGTTGTCTGTTTTTAGTTGAAAACGGTGACGTGTAAACGTCCCCTTAGAAACAAGAGGTCCATTTTGCTCGCCAGTCATTTTGGCCATGTACACACTGTAAAGGAATGACAACCACATTTAAATAGGGGAGTGAATAAATTCTTGTTCCTTGTGTGTATGAAACAGACTTACTTGCAACTCAATGGACTCAATTGTGATGATTGTGGTACCAAAGCAACGTTCTTGCATCTCACGCATTTGGTATCTGTGTTTTTGGGCTTGTTGTTAGAGCTTGGCTTATAAATTTCATGCATCCATTTTATGGAGATATTAAAGGAGAGGCTGCTCACTGGAGACCCAATGGTTGGAGCTTGACATCCAAGCTTGACATCCTCTCTGGACAGGAGCTTAAAGGCGGGACACACCAAGTTGACGGCGGGTCGTCTGAGAATGTCAGGCCGTTTTTGAGCATCAGTCAACTTAGTTTATTTGGTGTGTTCCACCGTTGGATCTAGACTGTTTTTTGGGGGGGCTGATTCGGCAAGTTGAATCGGCGTAGGGCCGACGGTGTAAGAGAGAACTCTGATTGGCTGTTCAGCTTAGCGAACGAGTCAGTGCACGAGAATAAAAGCAAAAGTGATAAAAGCGAGCAAATGCGTCAAGACGGTACAGACAAAGGCTGTTATAATTTTACGTCATCTTACCTGAGCATTCGAACGCACGAATATTTTAATAATGACATGAGCCGTCTGGAATGAAGAAAGTGATTAGCGTGATTGGTATTCAAAATGGTAAGCAAGCTCGGCTTTGTTTACGGTTTGTATATGCAGTCCTAGATTCGGTTAAAAATAGAAATTGAAATAGACTATTGATATAGACAGATATTCACTTGACAGTCACGTGTGTTCAAGCGCTTTTTGGCCGAGACGCAACCGACGAGAAGCAATAACAGCTTTCGTCGCCGCTAGTTCTTTGACGTCGGATTAGTGTGACCCAGGCTTAAAGGTTCAGCTACACCCTAACCCTACCCATAATCGTATCCCTAAACAAAACTAGGTTAAGCTACACCCATTGGGTCTCATTCATGAAACATTCGTAAATATACGAGTAAATATGCGAGTGATTTGCGCGTAAAGAGACCTTCCCGAAAACTCTTCTCCTGATTCACAAACGTCAGATGTGATAGTGAAATGTGTGTGTGTGTGTATTAATGAATTCCAATCAGTCGTAAATGGGATGCGCGTGCACGTTCATTCTCAATTACCATAAATCCCGCCCATTAAACCCGACTGACAACTATATATGGGCATCATATTATGACATGAATGCGAATGAAAAAAAAAAATTCTCAGATGCAGAAATTGAAGATTTATTATCAGAAGTTCATTCAAAACGCCACATTTTATTTTTCAAGCGTACATAGTGGCGTATCGGGTCCTAAAAAAAAGGAAGCTTGGCAGCATATTACAGATGCAGTTAATGGAGTTTCATCTGTTAATCGAACATTCCCAGAAGTGAGAAGAAAATGGTTCGACATTTAGCTTGAGTGCAAAAAACGTCTCGGTTACTGATGTAACCCTCGTTCCCCGAAGGAGGGAACGGGAGACGTGACGTCGACGTGACGACGTTAGGGGATCACTTCAGGGAGCCCTATCAACTTCGAGTATCTAAGAACAAGCCAATGAACGTTGGCGTGCGTGAACGCGTCACGCGCCCCCGCCCCGCAGCACGGGTATAAAACAGGGGAGAGGGACGCTGCGGAGCCACATCCTGCCCGAAGGGAGGTACCATGTGGAGAATACACATATGGACTGGCCGGTTGGGGCAGTGCAACATATGGAATGTCACTGGGGTGGCTCCACCTAAGGAGGGGGAGGCTACACCAGACAGTGACAGCAGAGCGAGCTCTGCCAAGGGAAAGACACGGGCTCACCGCAGGGAGCTGATCGTGGAAACTCATATGGGATCGCCGCAGGGACCACACATACGGAACCCAGCCTAGCACAAGTTACACAAGCATACGAGCAGTAGGCCTGGCGTCGGACGCTCCGCAACGTCCAACTGCCGAAGGGGTGTGGAGGAACTCACAGGGTTCACCTGGGTGGGGAACTCGACTGGAGCAAAGAGCGCACGTATCCGCTCCGTAGAGGGGAGTGGCGCAGCAAGCCGACACTAGAGCGGGAACTTCGGTGTTACCGGCTGGTTGAAGCGAGCACACAGGAAGAAACCGGCTCAACACGTAGGCTATAGAACCTAGCGAACGTGTTAGGTGTCGCCCAACCCGCAGCTCTACAGATATCTGTCAGCGAGGCGCCGTGTGCTAGCGCCCAAGAAGAAGCGACACTCCTAGTGGAGTGGGCTCTCAACCCGGGCGGACAAGGCACGCCTTGGGCTTCGTAAGCCAAGGCGATGGCATCCACTATCCAGTGGGCCATCCTCTGCTTGGAGACAGCCTTCCCCTTCTGCTGGCCTCCGTAACAGACGAAGAGCTGATCTGAGGTCCTGAGGCTTTGCGTTCTGTCCACGTACAAACGCAGAGCGCGGACGGGACAGAGAAAAGCCAGGGCTGGGTCTGCCTCCTCCAAAGGCAGCGCTTGCAGGTTCACCACCTGGTCCCGGAAGGGAGTGGTTGGAACCTTGGGCACGTATCCGGGCCGGGGTCTCAGGATCACGTGAGAGTTATCCGGGCCGAATTCCAGGCACGATTCGTCGACCGAAAATGCATGTAGGTCCCCTACCCTCTTGATAGAGGCCAATGCAACCAGGAGAACTGTCTTACAGGACAAGATTTTTAACTCAGCTGATTGCAGAGGCTCAAAGGGTGGTCTCTGAAAAGCCGAAAGGACCAGAGACAAATCCCAAGAGGGTATAGAGAGTGGGCGAGGAGGATTCAGTCTCCTCGCTCCCCTCAGGAACCTAACGATCAGGTCGTGCTTCCCCAAGGACTTACCATCAACAGCATCGTGATGTGCGGCAATAGCGGCCACGTACACTTTAAGGGTGGAGGGAGACAGCCTTCGCTCCAACCCATCTTGCAGGAAGGAAAGCACGGCTCTGATCGAGCATGATCGGGGGTTCTCCTCGTGAGAAGAACACCATTCAACGAATAGGTTCCACTTCAATGCATAGAGGCGCCTCGTAGAGGGGGCTCTAGCGGAAGTGATGGTGTCAACTACCGCTGGGGGTAGGTCACCTAGAACCTCCGCGTCCCGTCCAGGGACCAGACATGAAGCTTCCAGACGTCTGGACGCGGGTGCCACAGGGTGCCCCGTCTCTGAGAGAGCAGTTCCTCTCTCAGAGGGATGGGCCAGGGAGGGGCTGTCGCGAGGAGCACTAGTTCCGGGAACCAGGTCCGGTTGGGCCAATACGGCGCAACTAACAAGACCTGCTCCTCGTCCTCCCTGACTTTGCACAAGGTCTGTGCCAGAAGGCTCACTGGGGGAAACGCATACTTGCGAAGACCCCGGGGCCAGCTGTGTGCCAGAGCATCCGTGCCGAGGGTCCCCTCGGTCAGGGAATAGAACAACTGGCAGTGAGACGTGTCCGGGGCGGCAAACAGATCTATCTGTGCGGTCCCGAAGCGCCTGAAGATCAGCTGGACCACCTGGGGATGGAGTCGCCATTCTCCCGGTAGCACCTGCTGCCGTGAGAGCTCGTCGGCTGCACGGTTGAGCAGGCCCGGAATGTAAACGGCACGAAGCGACCTCAGATGCTTCTGACTCCAAAGGAGGAGATGGCGGGCGAGTTGTGACATGCGGCGGGAGCGTAGACCACCCTGACGGTTGATGTACGCAACAGTCGCAGTGTTGTCCGTACGGACCAGTACATGCTTGCCTTGCAGCGATGTTTTGAAGCGGCCCAGCGCAAGATGTACTGCTAACAACTCGAGGCAGTTGATGTGCCAATGCAGTTGAGGCCCCGTCCACAGACCTGAAGCTGCATGCCCGTTGTACGTGGCCCCCCAGCCGGTGATAGAGGCATCCGTGGAGACCACAGAGTGCCTGGACACTTGTTCTAGGGGAACACCTGCCCGCAGGAACGAAGGGTCCGACCACAAGCTGAGAGTTTGGCGACAGTGCGGGGTTACTGGAACCCGGCACAAGCCGCTCTGCCACGCCCATCTCGGGACTCGATCGTGAAGCCAGTGTTGGAGCGGTCTCATATGAAGCAATCCGAGCGGCGTTACCGCGGCTGCAGATGCCAAATGCCCCAGGAGCCTCTGAAACAGTTTCAGTGGTGCCGCTGTTCTGCGTCTGAGCGTACTCACGCAGTTCAACACTGACTGGACGCGGGCCTCGGTGAGACGCGCTGTCATGTTGATCGAGTCCAACTCCATACCGAGAAAAGAGATCCTCTGCCCGGGGGTGAGTTTGCTCTTCTCCCAGTTGACCCGAAGCCCTAGGTGGCTGAGGTGGCTGAGCACCAAATCCCTGTGTTCGCACAACTGCTCTCTCGACTGGGCGAGAATAAGCCAGTCGTCGAGATGGTTGAGAATGCGAACACCACGCTCGCACATGGGAGCAATGGCCGCCTCCGCAACTTTCGTGAAGACGCGGGGCGACAGGGCCAGCCCGAAGGGTAAGACTTTGTACTGATATGCCCGTCCCTCGAACGCAAAGCGAAGAAACGGTCTGTGTCGAGGGAGAATCGAGACATGAAAGTACGCGTCCTTCAGGTCGATCGCTGCAAACCAATCTTGGGGACGGATGCACTTGAAAATGCGTTTCTGCGTAAGCATCTTGAATGGTAGCCTGTGAAGGGACCGATTCAGGACGCGCAGGGTCCAAGATTGGCCGTAACCCACCTCCTTTCTTGGGTACAATGAAGTACGGGCTGTAGAAGCCGGTCTTCATATCGGCTGGAGGGACCGGCTCGATTGCGTCCTTCGCCAGTAGGACTGCAATCTCCGCTCTGAGAACAGGGGCACTGTCCGCCAGAACACGGGTGAACAGGATGCCCCTGAAAACAGGGGGGCGCCGGGCGAACTGAATCGCATAGCCGAGTCTGACAGTACGGATGAGCCAGCGAGACGGACTGGGAAGCGTTAGCCAAGCTCCCAGAGACAGAGCAAGCGGGACCAACGGCACCACAGACGTACCCGGAGTGGGGCAGCGTGACGGAATGCAGGGACCCGACTCGGGCGGCATAGCGGCCCGGAGTGGGGTCTGAACGTGTGGTGCAAGACGTACCTGCTTCCGTCGGAGGGCAGAGTGAGTGTGCGGAGGCGACAGTGCGTCCAGGACACAGCCACTGCTGCCCGTTGGCGATGGAAGAGGGGCTCGGGAGTGACAAGGCATAGCGTCGTCGACTGCCAAGCGCGCCCTCTTGGGGCCCAGAGGTTTCAGAAATTGCTCTTTCTTTGAAAAGGTGGGTACCACTGACCCGTGGGTCAGTGGCGGAACAAAAAGAAAAGGAAACAAAGGATTCTCCACCCGGCCCTCCACCGGGGGAAGGAGTGGCACGTCCGCCATCTCCTGAAGAGCAACTTGATCCACCTCTGGGCCGCCCGTCTCAGGGATGTTTGCACCGGCGCTTGCCTCCTGGCTTGGCAGCGGCCTGGACGGGCGGGGTCGACTTCCTGCGGCTTGCTCCACGCTGAGGTCTGGATGATGGCTGCTGCTGGGGCTTAGCGGGAGCGGAGGACGCCGCAGGAGGCCGACCTCGGCGACGAGTAGACGGAGGAGCTGCGGCCGGCGGGCGGGTGGGAGCAGCAGCGGTCCGCCGGGGCAGGATGTGTCGGCGGGGCAGAATAAGCACTAGATCCTCCCTTGAGGTAAGCGAGTCTCGATCTAAGTGCTGTGATAGTCATATTCCCGCAATGGGAACATGAACTATCCACAAAAGCTGCCTCAGCGTGCCGAATGCCCAAACACGAGATGCAGCTATTGTGGCCATCTGCTGGCGCCAGGGAACGACTGCATCCAGAAACGCACAAGCGGAATGACATCTTGAAAAAGACGCAGGGTCCGCTTGTGTTGCTCTTTTAGTAAAAATAAAAAAGGAAGTTACTCTCACAGTGCTGAGGCGCCCAGGGGTAGCCACTGTGTGGACACACACACACACACACACACACACAAACAATAGTGCTGTGAGAACAGCAGTTGAGAGCTGCACTGCTCGCGGCCACCGCTGATCGCGCCGTCACACCAACACTGGAACAGAGATCTTCCTTGAAGTCTTCAAAGGCGTTGAATCTTTAGACATCAGTCACAGGAAACTCGCGCTCCGAAATGAAAGACGGTGGGTGCTCGCGCCCGCTTCCTGTTTTATACCCGCGCTGCGGGGCGGGGGCGCGTGACGCGTTCACGCACGCCAACGTTCATTGGCTTGTTCTTAGATACTCGAAGTTGATAGGGCTCCCTGAAGTGATCCCCTAACGTCGTCACGTCGACGTCACGTCGAACGTGAGCGACTGAAGGGGAACAAATTAGTTCACTTCGGAAAAATAGTATTCAAACTGGAGAAGGACCACCATCGCAGATGCTATTACTGGCTCTCATAATAAGAAAAACCGTATGTAATTACTATATATAATATTTTTTCAAAATGCTGTGCAAATATGTACCCGATTAAGGTGAATTAAAATGCAGCCTTATTAATGAGCAAAACGTTTGGGTGTTAAGCGCACTATTTACGCGTGGCTGGGAGCAGGTGTAGATTTCTTGTGTACCAACTAACACAGACATCCCAAGTCTCCCGGAAGTTCCGGGAGTCTCCCGCATATTTCTAGCGTCTCCCTGATGCCCGCAAATTAGTTCAAATCTCCCGGAATCTAGAGCGAGATAGAACATACTGCACGCAGAGCCGTTGAAAAACTCATATTTAACGGCTCTGACTGCGCGCATAGTCGCGCATGACATCTCCGTGCGCAGAGAGCGAGAGACCTTGCGAGTGTGCCTAACCCTAACCTAGTCAACCCGACACCCCCCCCCCCCCCCCCCACCCCCCCCCCCCCCCCGGTCAACAATTGGGTCGACTGCCCCCCCGCCGCCAGTCACCAAGATATACCTCCCTGAAATGACTTCTTGCAGGTTGGGAAGTCTGCTAACATTTGGAAAATACGAACATTTTAATGAATCCGAAAATTTACACCAGAACCACTTTACACACGATTTACACAAAAATTCGTTCTGCTCGTGTTTCATGAATGAGACCCATTATGTCTAGAGAGGGGGAGCTGGATGTCACTTGACATTGCAGTGTAAATTAAATTTGGCAGGTGGATATTTTTTTATATAAAGCATTTGGATTTGTTTAGGCTTATATAATGGGCCTTTTCTTTGTACTAGCAAAATCTGGCAACACAAATGAGGCTCTAGTCTAGTTTTTCCTGTGCATACAAAAAGAGAAACATGCGCATTTAAATAAGCCATTAATAACTAGTCCTTCAGTTTGGTTCTGTAACACCGCAGACAATTTTTGTAAATGCAGTTGTCACTACCTGAATTTTTCAGGAGTTAATTCTGTTGTAGAATGCAGTTGTCACTCCCATAAACTACTGAACTCCGTGCATACAGTACGGGATTAAGCACTAAAAGGTAAACTGGCAAACCAAATTTAGCGGCAGTGTGGATGTCTTCTCAGATACCCAGTCAATAAAATGATCAATTAATGGAAATGACACCATAAATTCCCCACGGTTAAATCTTTGAATAGAGCTGAAGTGTGTAATTTCTGACGTCTCGTCCCTGACCCATCTTCCTTCCATTCCCCTGCACGCTCACGGTCTGCCCCGCAGATGGCCGAGCAGTTTGGTGTCAGTTATGAGCACAGCAATGCTGGCTCTGATCCGCTATGTTTCGATCTGTTGACATATGGGGCTGCTGGGGTGCATTAAACATGGGCTACTGATACTGTACAGATTGTCTCGCGTCCCGCTGCCTCCTCGTATGACGTTGCGTATTTTGTTGTTGTATGATCGTGTCATTTTCCACCTATGGAAACATACCACATGGTCTTGCTGTGAATGATGTAATCGGATACGCGCCTAACCATTCATATTTCCTCAAACAGGAAACAGTGGTGGTTCCAGACAGGAAGCTGATGCTGGAGGTGGACCGTCAGATGGCGAGCATCCTGAGCGGGCCCTACCTGGACTTTTTTCTGGCTTTGGCCATCTGCAACACAGTTGTGGTTTCCACAGTGACGGCCCAGAGACAGAGGGTGAGAGCGTGCGACGGCACTGACCTTGCTGGAGCCGAGAGGGTTGGGGGATCTGACTCACAACGCAAAAACTGCCCTCATGTCAAAACAATAACAATAATAGCCCACCATGTAAATTATGTAAATTAGTACCTGTGGCCGCAGACTCGTTGCCCAGAGATATTTTATTACTGCCCCTGCATGACTAATTTTTCTTTGGCTAGTGCTTCGCACCCCAGTGGTATGTTTTGTAATTACTACATTTTAATTCTCAAGCAAGCGCCAATGGCTCACTTGGTGGAGGCAATTAGATTTTTCATCAGTCGGGCGGACGGCGTCCCCCAAGTCCACCCCACACGTCTGTAATGAGTTGAGTCTGAGAGAGAAGTTTAGCGTAGCTGAGTATCCTTCACTGCTGGTCAGTGCTAATTTCCCAAATTGCACTTGAGGACCCCGAGCAAAGTACTTTGTCCAGGGTAGAAATTATATTTGGCCTCAGACCTGTAGCACTGAGACGTTCAAAGACATTGGGTCAACGTTAATTAAGTTGATTACCAATGGAGCATGATTGTATCACCCTGGGTCCATCTCAACTTAAGAGGCAGTCACAATGTACGCAGATCCACAGTACCTGAAGAACTAGATTATTAGAGCGTTTCAATATTTGCAATGTATTTCAGTTTTATCATAATTAGCAGAACACAGTTATACAGAAAATCTGATTTAACTGATTCATTTCCGAAATGGATTTTTACCATTGATTTAAAATAACCGTGACTTAAGCCCTATTCGCACGGGATTAGTATTATCTGGTGACATATAGTAATTTGTAATAATTGCGGAGTTTGTCTGTGATCTTAATCCCGTGCGAATCGACCATGTCTGTAATTTGTAAAGTAAAAATTCCCCCGCAAATTACAGGCCTACTATATTTCGCCGAACACAGAGATCCTGTGATAATATTAGTCCCGCGCGAATCGGCATACTGTGATTTGGCCGGATCGTATATCATTTTTTCAAGGCTTTTGTTTCATGTGCGCCTTTTTATCCATCTTTCGCGAAGAATGGAGGCTGGTTTGGAGTGTTTTGATAGTATTTTGGGTGCTGGGTCATATCGCAACTACACAATTTGCAGAAAGTGAAAGCTGAAAATCATCAGAAGAGCAAAAACAAAACGAATGATTAGATGAAGATGAATGACATGTATAGCAGCATGCGGTAAGGAACTTTATTCTGTTTATGTCATAATATATCATCTAGACCTATAACGAAAAGAAATTTCCAAGCCTATTGACGTCATATCCGGGAGATAAGTCAGTAAATTCGAGTAAAATCACAGGCTTCGGTTATCCCGTGCGAATGCGCCACACGAAATTCAGATGTGGCGGGGTAATTTTTAAATCACACGAGGTCCCCAGATAATACTAATCCCGTGCGGTGCAAATAAATACTACTTCTACAGCTCTATTTGCAGAAAATCGATTTGTAATTTTACAAGTAATCAATACACACTACCATTCGGGGTTAGTACAATTTTTGGCTGCATTTATTTGATCGAAAGTAGCCTACTTAAAAAAATAATATTGTGAAATTTTATTTCAATTTAAAATAACTTTTCTATGTTAATATAATAAATGTCATTTATTCCTGTGATGCAAAGCTGAATTTTCAACATCATTACTTCAGATTAAGTGTTACATGATCCTTAAGAAATCATTCTAATATGCTGATGTTGTCAATGTTGGAAACTGCTTAATATATTTGTGGAAACCTTGATACATTTTTCAAGGTCAAAAGAACATAATTTATTTGAAATAGTAATATTTTGTAACATTATAAATGTATTTAATGTCTCTTTCGGTCAATTTAATGCATCCTTGGTCAATAAAAGTAGTAATTTCTTTTTTTTTAAATCGTACTGATAACAAACTTTTGAACGCTGATCTAATATTTCACTGCACATCCAACTTGCACATGCATTGTTAAGAAAGAATAAGGCTGTGTTCAAAAAGCATGCATGCTATACTATGCATGCTATTTCTGTAACATGTATAGGGCCTACTAAGCACAGAATGAGACATAGCTACTGCATTTGTCTAAAAGTGTAGTGTACAATAGATCCCAATGCACTGCATGGGTACTGTACACCACTATGCAATGCACTTGTGAAATAACATTAGCCATAGTTTTTTTACTTCTTCCTTGATTCATCATTTGAACAGACAATTAAGCAAACTCAAAATAAAAATAGCCTTATTTATTTCAGATGTGATAACTCTACTCACTAAATTGACATGCAACTTGGCAAGGTCTTACATCAAAAAGATTCATAATGCAATAATAAGGCAGTTATAATGCGGTAATAATGCAGTCAGCAGTATTCTAGTATACAGAATCTATCACGCAAATAAATGTATGTACTTTTCCAGGTCAAAGAGCGCAGTAACTCTGCATACTCCGGTGGTTCATTTCATATTATGGGACAGTGGTTCAGAAAGGGTTCCCTGAGGAACGTTTTCAGCTCCATGAAGTTCTTCAAGAGAGGCAGGGAGACACTCGCGGATCCTTTCGCCAAAGATGAAGACGAGCCTGACCTGTTTCACAGCGCCGATGTCTCAGACTCAACCACAGGGCAGAAGGTCATCTCAAGTGAAAGTGAGGTTAAACGCAGTCTGTCTAGCACAGAGGAGGTGTGTTATGAGGCCCACAGCCCAGATGAGGCCGCTCTGATACATGCAGCAAAGGCTTATGGGTTCACCATGGTGGAACGCACTCCTTATTACGTGACCGTCAAGCTGCCTGATGATACGCTGCTGAAGTTTGAGGTGTTGGACGTCCTGACCTTTGACTCGACCCGGAGGAGGATGTCCATAATAGTACGACACCCACACACCAATGAAATCATCATGTATACTAAAGGAGCTGATTCAGCCATCATGGAAAGACTGGGGAACGTTTTTTCAAGTGAGCATGAAAGACTCAGAATCATTTAGATTGGGCCATTCCTGATCAAATATTGTGTGATATTGTGAAATATTATTGCAATTTAAAAATGCTCTTTTCTATTTGACTATATTTGAAAATGTCATTTATTCCTGATACAAAGCTGAAATTTCAGCATCATTAGATTTTTTTCTTTCAACTTAAGGAAATAAATAAATTATAGAAAATGTTTTTTTTTAAATCTTTAAGAAATTATCATTTACTTAAACTCTTAAAAAAAATATATATTTTTTATTCATGGAACACAAATAGAGAAAAAACTTAAAAGATGCTGATGAATGACAATCTCCAAAAAAACACATGATAATAATGTTCCATATGGCTTGTGCACTATTCCAAGTCTCCTACACATCATATGATATTATGATAGTGAAGTACAGGCAAAAAAATTATTCATGAAAATCCTCCAGCATTGAAATATGTTGTAATTGAATTGTCAATGTGGCAGATTTGAATGTAAGTGTGTCGTTTGTTTTCCACAGATATGTCACAAGTGGATAATGTTGCGAAGCAAATTGCTGTAAAAACTCAAAAAGACCTTGATATGTACGCCAGGGATGGATTACGAACGCTGTGCTTTGCCAAAAAGGTAGAAGTTTTGCAGAATGTAGTAAGGCTAAATCTATCTGAAAACAGTTTAACAGTCTTGCTCATGAAAAGCTCTGTGTTTTTCTCTGAAGGTTATCAGTGAAAAGGAGTTCAAGGCCTGGTTTGCTATCAGACAGGAGGCATTGTCAGCCATTGATGAGAAAGAAGAGCGTCTTATGGACACTGCAACCTACATAGAGAACAACTTCACTCTGCTGGGTACAGTCAAGGACTACTAATGAGTGTCATCCTAAACTTCCATAAAACATCCAATGTCACAGTGTCATTGAAAACATGTTAAAGTATTGAGAGTTTTGTGACATGGAATACATTTTGTAAGGGATAGTTCACCCAAAAATGAAAATTCTGTCATTAATTACTCACCCTCATGTCGTTCCAAACCTGCAAGACTTTTGTTCATCTTCGAAACACAAATGTAGATCTTTTTGATGAAATCGGAGCGATTTCTGTCCATCCATTAGCAGTTACGCAACGACCACTTTGACGCTTCAAAAAGTTCATGAAGAGATCGTAAAACGAATCCATATGAATCGGTTTAGTCAACATTTTCTAAAGAGACGCGATCGCTTTATCTGATGAACAGTTTGAAATTAGGCTTTTATTCAAATATAAACATTGATCAACTCACACATCAGTTGTGGTGAACGGAAAATAAATCATGTTTGCTTGACGTGTGAGAACCAATGAGGTTTATTCTCGTGTTACGCATCACGTTTGAGCTTCTGCAAGAACCAATGAGGTTCATTCTCGTGTTACGCATCACGTTTGAGCTTCAGCAAGAACCAATGAGGTTCATTCTCGTGTTACGCAGCACGTTTGAGCTTTAGGAAGAACCAATGAGGTTTATTCTCGTGTTACGCAGCACGTTTGAGCTTCAGCAAGAACCAATGAGGTTCATTCTCGTGTTACGCAGCACGTTTGAGCTTTAGGAAGAACCAATGAGGTTCATTCTCGTGTTACGCAGCACGTTTGAGCTTCAGCAAGAACCAATGAGGTTCATTCTCGTGTTACGCAGCACGTTTGAGCTTCAGCAAGAACCAATGAGGTTCATTCTCGTGTTACGCATCACGTTTGAGCTTCAGCTAGAACCAATGAGGTTCATTCTCGTGTTACGCAGCACGTTTGAGCTTCAGCAAGAACCAATGAGGTTCATTCTCGTGTGTTATGGAGCACGTTTGAGTTTCTGTTCTCGCACGTCAAGCAGGTTTGTTTGAGCTTCATTTCATGTTCACTGATTAATATTTATGTAAATTATATGTGAAAAGCCTAAATTAAATCTGTTCATCATATAAAGAGATCGTGTCTCTTTTGGACTAAACCGCTCAATTCATATGGATTAGTTTTACTATCTCTTTATAAACTTTTTGAAGCGTCAAAGTGGTAGTTGCGTACCTGTCAATGGAGGGACAGAAATCTCTCAGATTTCATCAAAAAGATCTTGATTTGTGTTCTGAAGATGAGCGAAACTCATACAGGTTTGAAACGACATGAGGGTGAGTAAATGATGAGAGAATTTTGATTTTTGTGTGAACTAACCCTTTAATCCATTTAATTCTTATGCCCACAGGGGCAACCGGCATTGAGGACCGTCTCCAAGAAAATGTCCCAGAAACCATCCAGGCTCTGAGACGGGCTGGCATGCAGGTGTGGGTGCTGACAGGGGACAAACCTGAGACGGCTATCAACATCGCATACTCCTGCAAGCTGCTAGACCAAGAAGACCTGGTGTTCACCTTCAGCACAAACAGGAAGGTAGTTGATCTGACACTGTGCCATTCGGTGCCAACTAACTAATGCTTTTATAACTGAGCAGACCAGACACTCCTTCCAATGATTTGACCTCCATTAGTCAACCAGCTTCATTAAAAAGATTATGCTCGCATTAACATACTTAAATAGAGTCTTTTCAACAGGATCAACCATATCCCATATCTCAATATGAGCATGTTGATGGTTTTTCATGTGTTTGGGATTTAAAACACTGAACCCGCACAAAAGGAAAAGGGTTAATTGGTTTATCTGGGACAACAGAGTCTTCAGTGTTACACAGTTTCATCCCCTCAAGAGTGAAGTTCTACATAGCGTGTTCAAACACATAAATGCGCTTGCAATAATTTGTCAGATATGCTGTTTTTCATTTCATGTCTGCCTGAGTCTGTGTTCAAGAGAGCTGAGAAAAAGTGCATTCACCATTCTGAATGCCTCATATTGCTGCTCTGTAATCCCATTTTCACACTTCTGAGGAGGGCAGGAAACTGTTCTAGTTTCATTTCAACATTAAATCCCTTACTGAAGACTTTCACATATTGTTTCACACACATTTTATGAAATCCCTTATCTTATGCATCTAAAACCTTCTCTTTCTGTTGTCTAAGTAGTGTTTTTTTTTAAAGTACACAATTTATTTGTCATCATCTTGTATATTAGTTCATTCCCGAAATAGAAATCTGTGTGGAAGATGATAGACTCATAAGCCATTTATGTAACAGTGAAATGGGCAGCAACTGAAATTTAATTTTGACATGACTTTAACCTAGATATATTCTCAAACCAGTCACGTTATGTATAACATATAGCAGTGAAGTATGGGGTGCCTCATGACATTGTGATGTCACAACTCATGAATATTAATTAGGTCATGCTGTCATTGCAAGATAGCCTGTCCATTCACGTAATCTCATTTTAAATAAGATTTGCAATGCTGCCCAACTTGATGTGACATCATGTTCCACAATGCACATGTGATAACAAGACAGCTGTAGTTTTCAGAGCCAGATGCTGCAGTTGATCTTCACGACAAACTGAAGGCCTGATGGAAAATGAATAACTCATTGGCTTAGAACATCCGTCATATTTTTGGCTTGTCTAAAATGTTATTTCATTTAAACTAAAAATGGATGTAAAAGAATACAATATAGTAGTTAAAACACCCAAAAGTTTGGGGTCAAGGTGATTTTAAAAAAATAAATTAATAATTTTATTTACCGTAGTAAGGATGCATTCAATTGATTAAAAGGGACAGTAAAAAATGTATAATGTTACAAAAGATTTTCATTTCAAATAAATGCTGTTCTTTTGAACTTTCTAATCATGAAAGAATCCTGCAAAAAAAAAAAAAAAAAATGAAGCATTTGAACTCAAAATTGATAATAATCAGAAATGTTTCTTGAGCAGCAAATCAGTATATCAGAATGATTTCTGAAGGATCATGCGACACTGAAGGCTGGAGAAATGATGCTGAAAATTCACAGGAATAAATTAGTCTACATTTTAAAATATATTAAAATAGAAAACTATGGAAGCTTGTTTCCACTACGGAATAAAACAATTTAAAAGATAATTGTGACTTTTACTTTTAGTCCAATTATAACTCGCAATTCTGACTTTATAACTCAAAATTGCAGGTATATATATATATATATATCAAGCAATTCTGTGAAAAAAAAGTTACCTTTTTATTTTTTATTCTTTGGCAGAAACAAGCTTCCATTGAAAACAGTTATTTTAAATTGCAATAATATTTCACACGGTTATTGTTTACAGTATTTTTGAGCCTTGGTGAGCATAAGAGACTTCTTTCAAAAAAATCTTACAGACCCCAAACTTTTGAACGGTAGTGTACACTGAATTACCTGTTCGTCATTTACATAATCAGGTTAAAGTATTGCAAACGCATCCATTCCACTGCAATAAATAATGTGGATGTAGTTTATGTTTTTGAAGTTCAAATACTAACACAATCCTTGTTATATATTGCAGTCTTTGTGTAAAATGAGGTTAGAGGACACACTGGGAGAGGTGCGACGGAGTTCCCTGTCACCCGCAGGAGAAGTCCAGTTCAGGGGCAATAACTCCGCGTTTACGCTGACGGAGCACAGTATCGGGCTGGTGATAGATGGGCCGACTCTGAGCATGGCCATGTCAGACGACCTGGTGGAGCAGTTTGTGGAGCTTTGCAAACACTGTCGTGCGGTGCTTTGCTGTCGAGTGACGCCGCTGCAGAAGAGCAGTGTGGTCAAACTCATACGGCAGAAACTGAGGGTCATGACCCTCGCTATAGGTAATGAAACCTTTGATTTGAGGTGGATGGGTTTATGAAATCATTTATAAGATTACTTTTGTGCAGGTTTGTGAAGTACATTGGTTTTCTGTTGTGATACATTATGATTTGTGTCGATTTAGGTGACGGCGCCAATGATGTGAACATGATTCAAGCTGCAGATGTTGGCATTGGGGTTTCTGGACAAGAGGGAATGCAGGTTTGTGTTTTTGTGTTTTGTAACCCACTCCCTGGTGAAGTTAAGGCACTGAAATGTATCAATCAATAAGACCTTCATTTTTAAAGAGGGATTTTCTGATTGACTGGATCAGGTGTGTTTTAAGTCTCCATTGTGATCGATGTTTCTTTCGTATTGTGACGAATATCTGAGTGAAACAGCTTCCTGAATGAGAAAAAAAAATGAGGGAGGGGCACGTTAACATTTTTAAAGCGCCGCCATTATGCTATTCTAAAGGTTCCTAATTTTGCTTTAGAGTCTCCTACAACAGGTTTACATCCATTAAAAGCACTTTAATTTTTTCATAATATACATTGGACATCACCACATTTTGCAATGATTCTCAAATGACTCGTTGGATGATTCGGTCTCTCTAAATCCCTCCTTTCCGTGAGCTTACACTGTTCTGATTGGCCAGATTGCCCAGTCTGTTGTGATTGGTCTACTGCTAACAACGTGTTTCAGAAGCTAATCGCTCATTACCATAACTGAACTTCAGCTCCAGAGGCTTCCTCGGTCCTCAGAGATTGTACACACTGTACAGTCAGTCAGTCAAGTCAAGTCGCAGCTCTAGAATAAAGTCATTTTTGATTGATTCATTTCCGTTGTAAAAGTCCTTAGTTATTAACTTAGGGGCCGCTTACTGCACACCGCCCTCAACCGAAAACTGAAAACTTTTAAGGCGTTCCGGCCGTTCATTTACACAACAATGGTGTTTGGTGGCCTGAGAACGCAAACTTTGAAATAGGTTTTTTAAAATTACTTTGAAACAAGTTTAGAAAACGATACCGTTATCATCTCAAAAACGTGAATCTGTGAAAACAGTGATGGCATCCACACGCATACTACGTTTAGTCAATAGGTATGCACGTTTGAATGCTTATTTGCGTGGGTGCGTAGTCTTTCTTTACAAAGTGACATCGCCAAATTACAAGTTTACGCGGATCCATGTGAACGGGAATCCCCCTGACAACAGTTTTCATCTGTACAGAGGGAAAGGGGAGGGGGGAGGCCGAGGAGGCCGAGGAGGCCGAGGAGGCCGAGGAGGGGATAGTCAGATGGACGTCGCTTTTACCATATCAATGCGAGCAGGAGTCTGATGATGAAACATTGGAAGAACTAGTTATTCAACCCGAACCTCCATCGCAAGGACGACTTGAGCAGGACGTTTCTCAGTGATGCACTACTCAGTTTGTCGACATTATGAGATTAACAAGTTTATATCCATCAACAAACCGATGTGTATATTTCAAATTTATTGCGGGAACTGTACCATTAACTATATCAATAACAGCTCATACATTAGCCGAGCACTAACGTGAATGACTAATGTAACATTAAAGTTTGCAAAAAAGAATGCACAATTTGCATGACATCATGACTTTGCGTAAACATACACGCCACTTTCAAGTCAAGTGGCGTGTTATCTATACGCATTTTGAGCTATCCGCGTGTATGTCCACGGCGAAATCTTTTGCGTGTATGTCTACGCCATTAAATGTCCGAGTGATTCTGCGTGTATGTGTACGCCGTTAAATGTCCGAGCGAAACGAAGCAAAATCTATATCTACATCTGTGGAGCGATATTTCTTTTCCTAGGATGGTAGGAGAAGACTCATAAATGGTATGGTTTAAGGGACAGGGTTGGTGTAGGTCATATATTTATATATACATAATACAGTAATGTAATGTTAAGTCAAAGGCGTTGATAAACACGCTGAAAAGCGATTATGCGTGTTGATAGCACGCCAAAAATGGAAATACGAATTGGCGTGTCATACGTACGCCATTTCATGAGATCAGTCTGCAATTAGAATAAAACAGGTTAGTTATGACAAAACAGGTTATTTTGTTGTTGTTGTTGTTGTTCAAAAGGAGAGCCTCTGTTCTTTCTTTGGATATATTGCATGTTCAGATATTCGGGCCATGAAAGTTTTATGAAAATGATTAAAAATGCTGGCGGTCGCTGGCAATTTAAAAAAAAAAAACACTGGTGGGAAAGAGTTAAAAATATTATACTGATGCGAACAAATAAATCATTTATAATAAACATTCCATAAGAAAAGAACTGTCAGTTTAGAATTCATGGTGACTTTAAGTGCTGTGTTTGTCTTGCAGGCCGTCATGGCCAGTGATTTTGCCATCACTCGCTTTAAACACCTGCAAAGACTGCTGCTGGTTCACGGACACTGGTGCTACTCAAGACTGGCCAATATGGTCATCTATTTCTTCTACAAGAATGTGGTAATTATCACCATGGCAACCAATTTTGTTACATTTGTATAAGAAATGAGTGGCGCTTGACTTGAGCGATTAAGCAACCACCTAGCAACAACCTAGTAACCTCCCAAAACAACCTAGCAACAGCATAGCAATGTGCCAAAAACTCGCAGAACATCTTAGCAAACTTATAGCAACTTCCTGGCCAAACCTTAAAGGAGAACTCCGGCGCAAAATGAACCTTTGGTCTAATAAAACATTGGTACCTAGTCAACCGTTCTCAGAGATTTGTTTTCATGATAATCGAATATAAAGAGTTTTATCTCTAAAAACTGTTTAGCGTATAACGCTAGTAATGGGGGCATATAATAAGTGAAAAGAAATCGCTAGTTTATACCACTAACAAGACTCAAAATAGCCCCACACGAACACAGTGACATAATGAGGGTCCCTGCATGCAAAACGAAGCATTGAGAACTTTGTAAGTGTACAGACCGTTTAATAAGAAGATAAAGATAAAGACAGTCCACTTCGTGTATACAGACAGGAGCCATCTTTGGAAAACAGTCTCGACTAATCAAACCACGAACGACGTGCTAAGTGAGCTGAACTGTATGAATGGCCTTCGTGGTTTGATTAGTCGAGACTGTTTTCCAAAGATGGCTCCTGTCTGTATACACGAAGTGGACTGTCTTTATCTTTATCTTCTTATTAAACGGTCTGTACACTTACAAAGTTCTCAATGCTTCGTTTTGCATGCAGGGACCCTCATTATGTTACTGTGTTCGTGTGGGGCTATTTTGAGTCTTGTTAGTGGTATAAACTAGCGATTTCTTTTGACTTATTATATACCCCCATTACTAGCGTTATACGCTAAACAGTTTTTAGAGATAAAACTCTTTACATTCGATTATCATGAAAACAAATCTCAGAGAACGGTTGACTAGGTACCAATGTTTTATTAGACCAAAGGTTCATTTTGCGCCGGAGTTCTCCTTTAACATTGTTGGATTAAGTTTTTTTAACAAACAAGCACAATGCAAAGATGTAGTCTACTAAGTGTAATAATACCAGTTTTACATGTGAATATTAACATTTGCACTATTTTTTTAAACTCAAAATACATAGACTGAGAAGGGGGGACTGTTAGCAGGGCATGTTGGCTTTAGGTCAAACTGACAAAACCAGCACAGAACATTTTTGAACCAAGTCACAAGATCCACATACTCCAAACAGACTCAACTATGATAATGATAATGATCTCTCATGCCTCCTACAATTGATTAAAGAGTATGTGTTGCACGTTGCCCGTTTAAGGGTTAAAAACACTTATGAAATATATAAGTAATTAGCATTAACACTTGTTTAACTAACATGCAATTACTAACCTGTGTTATCTCACGCAGGCGTATGTGAATCTGCTGTTCTGGTATCAGTTCTACTGTGGCTTCTCTGCCACAGCCATGATCGACTACTGGCTCATGATATTTTTCAACCTGCTCTTCACCTCGGCTCCTCCCATCATGTTTGGGATAATGGACAAAGAGGTGTCAGACTCCACTTTACTGAGCCTGCCCGAGCTCTATAAGAGAGGACAGCACTCAGAGGTGAGGAATCCCACTGTCACTCATGACAATCTATCATTACTATACCATATCGTAACTCATGTCTGCGGTAATTGGGTTAAAAGATATTTCTATTAGGAAATTCAGTAACACTTTATTTCTATGCTCCCCCAAAAAACATTCTACTGCATAACTAACTTTTGCAACTACAAGTCAGCTTAACGCCTAACCGTAACAGTCAACTACAGTCTTCTACTACAGTCTACTAATACTCTAAAGAGAGTTAGTTGACATGTACACTGAAAAAACTTTGGAGTAGGATTTACTTGAAAAAAGCTAGGCAACTTTTTTCACTCAGAAAATGCTAGTAAATTTACAACGATTTGCCAAGTAAAAACCTAAACATATTTATCAGTAGCTTTAATTAGAAATATTTAAGTAAAATTTACTTGGAATATGGAATTAAGTAAACTTTACTTAACCTAGTCAAGTGAAAGTAACAAAGAAAATAAGAAATTTTGGTAACACTTTACAATACGGGTGCCCTAATATGCATTAATTCATGTTTAACTAATGCATAGATAATCATGAGTTAATGTATGATTCATGAAGAACTAAACCATTAATTAATGATTACTGCATCAGCAACTAAGAAAGAGTCTAAATGATTAATAGATTAAGTAATACATGAATTGCTATTAATTCAATGTGTCATTGTGTATTAATTCCTTAATAACATATTTTATTAACTAATAGTCTAAATTAATGTGTTAATTACCACAATTAGTCAAAGCTATGCACTTCAACTTCCAGTTGTCTGCTTTAATTAATCATTAGCTAATGATTTGCAAAGGTATCATTATGTTATGACTTTACTTGTTGAGGCACATCGTTATTAACTAGTCATTTAGTAATTGTAGTAATTTACACATGAATTTGCACTAACAATGAAGTAATTAATCATGTATTAATGCATATTAGTGTACCTGTATTATCTGGAAGTTGAAATACAAGGCTTTGGCTCATTCTGGTAATTAACATATTAATTAACACTATTAGTTAAAAAATTAGTTATTAGGGAATTAATTAACAATTACATATTTGATTAATAACAATTCATGTATGAACTAATACATTACAGCCTCTTAATTAGTTCCTAATGTGGTAATCATTAATGAATAGCTTAGATAATCATTAGTTACACATTAATTCAGTATTATCTGTGCATTAGTTAAGCATGAATTAATGCTTATTAGTGCACCCGTATTGTAAAGTGTTACCGAAATTTTAACTTGGCTAGTTAAAGGTGCTCTAAGCGATGTCACGCGTTTTTTAGGCCAAAACATTTTTTGTCACATACAGCAAACATCTCCTCACTATCCGCTGGCTGCCTGTCCCCTGAACACACTGTAAAGAAACGCGATCTCTGTAGACAGCCCAGGCTCCACAAACAGCAACAAAAGCAAACTGCAGCGACCCGCTCCCCGAAACATAACAAACTGTTCCAGCCAATGACCAACAAGAAGGGTTTGGGGGCGGGGTTTGGGGGGTTAGTGTGCGGATGAGGAGGAGGGAGGGTCTAGCTAGCCTCCGTTTTGTTTGACAATAGATCGAACGTCAACAAGAAGTGACGTCACCCAGGATCGCTTAGAGAACCTTTAAAGGTTGAATAATATCAATTTAGTTGAAATTTCCTTTCCATTACATTCCACTCAAACAATAATATTGCATTATACCAGTATGTACTTTACTTAGAACTTTAAGTAATTTATACTACATCATGTCAGATGTTAAATATCATGTGAATGGAAAGACCTCAATACTTGGTAGAAAATACACAATGACGGTAACATTTGATGGATCGTTTTTGTGTTTGAATGTGTCATTTTGAGCAGAAAATTTACTCGAAATGTCACAAAATGGCAAGTTACTATAATCCTAACAACAAAAGCAATGATAAAACAGTGCAAATACAGTGAAAAATCAACCTCATTAATTATTCAAGGTCCAGTGCATGATGGGAACCCCAGTATCAGAAAAGTTGAGTAATTATTACTTAATTTTATTAAGTTGATATTTACGCTTTCATTTCTACTCGCTTGAATTAAGTACTGATATGGAATTTACTTAGTTTTTTTAATTCTTGCCTGAACTAACTTTTTCTTGTAAATTACATTGGGTTTTTTTTCAGTAGTATTTACTTCACCACAAAATCATTATTTACAGTGTAGTTACAAATTTACTTGTAGTTAGTAGAATGTCTAAAGTGGACCATCGAAATAAAGTGTAACTGAAAATTCATATTAGAAATTAATTACAGTGTTAGAGAATCAATTTAATTCAACCGTGGCAGTTGTAGTTATATTTTCTAAATGCGTTCAGCTATTATTTTAATAACAAATACCACCGCAAGTTACGAGTACCTAACCATGGTAAAGCATTGCATGTCTTGTGACACATTTAAACGTTTGATACAGGGCTACAGGCGTTCAACGTTTTGGATTGCAATCCTAGATGCTTTCTATCAGAGTCTAGTGTGCTTTTTTATTCCATACTGGGTAAGAACATCTGTTCAGTCTCTTGTCAGTTTCTGAATCATGTGTTTGGAGTAACTTGTTATCTGATCACTGCTTGTACTTTCTCAAGACGTACAACGGTTCAGACATCGGCATATTCTCGTTCGGCACTCCCATGAACACGGTCTCTCTGTTCACCATCATCCTGCATCTGGCCATTGAGATCAAGAGCTGGGTGAGTTTACGCTCCACTTCATCACTGCAGAACACAATCACACGGCCTCTATCATCTCACATTCACTTCGTAGAGAGCGTGGTCAGGGTACCGCCATATTTAATCTTTGACAGGAATGAAAACGAGGCTGTGAGGGATAGAATACAGTGTGTTTAGTGTATTATAATAACAATCAGATTGTTCAGCAGATGAAATGTCTTTCAGAAAAAAAATTACTTTCGGTATACAAGAACTCATTTAAAACAGCTTTTTGTGAGTCGTGAAAATTATGTGAGCTTCAAATGCAAAAAGAAAAATGCATTAAAGATGGCTTCTAATCTTGCTAAGGTCTATTGGTGCAACATTTTCTTCACTGATTATCATTTTAAAAAAATAATGATGACATTATCAATGACAACACTGATGAATCATGTTTTTAAAAGGCTCAGTTATTTGATCACTTTTGTTTTGTTCCCTGGTGCCAAATTATAATGTTAGTCAAAGTCTCTGTGATTGTTTTTGCTACTGTACCTTGGTTATGAATGGCTAGCATTTTTTGTGTGTGAAATGAGTAAGAGCATTTTTGTAAGAGCATGTTTACTTTGCCTGCATATCTTATTGTTAGTTATAAACTACCATTCAAAAGATTGGGGTCAATAAGATTTTTTTTTTTTTTAATTAAGACTTTAATTATGTACGGACACATTAAATTGACCAAAAGTGACAGTAATAACATTTATACACTTAAATGCTGTTCTTTTGAAAATTTCTATTCATCAAAAAATCCTGAACAAAATCTGTCACGGTTTCCATGGAAATATGAAGCAGCACAACTATTTTCAACATTGATAATAATAAGAAATGTTTCTTGAGCAGCAAATCATCATATTAGAATGATTTCTGAAGGATCATGTGACACTGAAGACTGGAGTAATGATGCTGAAAATTCAGCTTTACCGTCACCGTTTTAATATATATATTCATATAGAAAACAGATATTTTGAATTGTAATAGTATTTCACAATATTAGTATTTTTACTGTATTTTTTTTAATTAAATAAATGCAGTCTTACAGACCCCATTCGAATGATAGTGTATACAACCAGAATAAAAGTATGTTCTTCTAACTAGAATAATAATACAATTAGTTGATATGTGTTCATATTTGAATATTCCAAAAACAATCAATCTTTATTTGCAGCTTAATTTCAATTAATGATTTTTTTATTTTTTTTGCACATACAAAAGTATTTTTAATGAAATGACCCCTTTTTGTTGGACTTGCAGACGGCGGTGCACTGGGTGATCATGATCGGCAGTGTGCTGGTGTACTTCATCGTGACTCTGGCCTACAGCGCCATCTGTACCAGCTGCAACCCTCCCTCCAACCCCTACTGGATCATGCACAAACAAATGGCCGATCCAATGTTTTACCTCGTCTGCATTTTAACAACTGTTGTTGCTTTACTGCCAAGGTAACCAAAGTTTAGCATTACCATTATGTGTATAATAGCATCATATCAGTGATAGTGTTGTCATACATGAATAGGGTGACCATCTGGTTATTGCTCAGTTGCATGACAGTATCTGATTTTGTGTGTGAGATAAATTTACTACTATTACACTATGTAAATATAGGCTAGTTGGAAAGCCTATTTGCCATCAAGTTGGATGATAACTTTTTAAATCGTCAATAAGCTTTGTTAATTGTGACTGGCACTCAATGTGCCCAGGTTCAAGTGATGTAATTTACTCTACTGGACCTATTCACTACGGTAAATATAATGAACTGAATAACAGTATAGGTAAAAATCATAAATAGCGACGTTTATTTTCACTTTGTTAGACTATGCACTTTATTAGACTACAGGACAAAGCTCCCAATTTCAGGACTTGGTCACCCTTTACATGAACGAATGAAGTCTGGTTTCACGTTAGTGTCATAGCGCACACACAGTCTGCTCCGGTCCAGAGGCACGACATCACCGAGCGGATCATATGTGTGAATCGGCGCAGGCCAGAGAACGTTTTCGGACTCGGACCCATTTGAATTCTGCACAGTATATTTTAAAGCGAGATGGAGGAGATTAGTTGGAAACTGCGGCTTTACTGAGTTCAACAGCTCTGGCCGAGATGTGATATAAACTAAACACTATTGGCTATTTTAAAAAAGGGAAGGAGCTGTTAGATATGTCCCGCCCTGTCTTCCTGTATCCTCTTTTTCTGTTTTTTTTTTTCTCTCAACATGGCCCTATTTTTTTTCCAGGTACACCTTGCATGTCCTAAAGGGAACTCTGGCACCCTCCCCTCACCTCCGCGCACGGCAGCTCGAGCGGCTCCCCCCCTCCCATCGGGGGCCGCGGATCAGAGAGTGGCGTGGTCTCCGAGACATGTGCATTTCTCCTTCTCTCAGATCCCAGGAAAACAGCTCTTCTCCCTGCCCCAGTGCATAAAGTACACACGCCACAGTCCGGCACGCCACCCTTCCTCATGCACAGAGAATGACAATGCCGCAAAGCTTGAATTCTTCAATACACATAATTGCCAAAAGCCAAAACGGAAAGGATATTTATGTTTTGCACACATGCATGCGCTGCAGAGGGAACTTCCGGCAGCATTTGATGCCAGGTTTCGCTGTGCTCATTCACTCCAAGGAATGAAGCTGTGCTTTTCAATTTTGAATGTGCTCTTTGCTCTCACAAACCATTTGCATGATCTTCACTTGGTTCTGGGCGGCTCAGTCCACACAAGATCAATACATGCATATCATTTCTCAACGGCGTGAAAGTAATCTGTTCGTTGGATGCAGCTGAGCCTTTTCCCTTCTGCGAAACCAACTTCCTGTTGTCATGAGGACCACATTTGTATGCATTTGCGCTTTGAGCTGCTCATGTAATAATTGAGGTTTGCAGATGTTACATAATATCTTGGTTCATCAGAGCTTGTTGTGCATGCTGACAGAAATACAAGCACCAGTGAGATTAAGGAGGCTGGATCTTCTTCTTCTTCTTCTTCTTTATTCCTAATAACTTGATTGTCACATAAGGCTTGTTGATGATGCCTGTGCGCGTATGCGTGTAATACACTAAGGCAGATCAAACAGTCCTTCGCCGACATTTGAATATTTAATTGCACTGCTGACGTCTGGCTGACGTTCTTCACTCATGACGGGGTTAGTGATGACCTCACGCTCAGACAGATCATAGCCGAGCGAGCGTGTCTCTTTTCCCCATCCTTCCAGCATGTGTGTAACATACACCACAGTCAGGGGAAAAAAGAGTCCATCGCTGCTTCTATTTGCAGAACCCAGGGCGGTTTTATGTAATGATGACAGACATGTTTCTGACGGGCCGCTTCTGCCCTCTGGTGGCAGTTTGAAGAACTGCAAATACTATCATCCATTTATTAAAGCCACGTGACAGTGTTTCAGGTCACTTACTGAAGGATTTCTTTAAAAGCAGGAACTACGGGTGCTTTAATTGAAATTGAACTTCTAAATATTTAATAAAATATTTTTTATATGATTTTTAAACTTTTAATATACTTTTTGTGTGTGTGAAAGGGGTCATTTAAAATATTATTTGATAAAAAAACCTGTATGTAATATGTAAACGTACGTTTGTAATGGCATTGTATGATGCCGTTTGTAATTAAATATTATGTATGTAAACAGTTTAATATAATTCAAGAAGCAATGTTTAGAAGTATGGGTTTCTATATCTGTTATGAGAATTACATTATGATTCATGTTTGTAATATGAACAAAATAGGAAAATTACCTTTAAATGATGCTATTTGATTAGGTGAATGGAATATAAGACTATATAAAAATGAAATGTTTTATTAATTTCAATAGTGGATGTTTTTTAATAGTTTGATCTATTGTGGAAAGTCAAAATTGTTAACAATCAACCCTATCTGACCTCCCCTTTAAACAAAGAGACCAGAAATAAATTCAAAAGAAATACAAACAAAACAGCAACAACTGACACAGTTTGTAATCTTGACCTTCCTTTGAAATGTACATTAGTATTGAGTATTCTACATACTATCAAAAATATGTTTTAAAAAAGGCAGTAACACTAAAGCTTGTTTTGTGAATTAGCCTACAGTAAATTACATATCAGTTGTCTCATATCAGAGTCCACACCAAATCCTATATGCAAAGTCCCATGAGAAGAGATACTTTGTACAGTATCATTTCGATGATCAGAGTAACACACGAGGACAGTGTAAATGCATATTTTACTTTGAAAGTTTATAAATCTAAAAAATAAACAACAGCAGTGTTTTATAGGCGCCAGAATGTTCTGTACTCAATTGTCATTGAAAGATTTGCATTGACAAGTATAAAATGAATTTATTATATATATAGTGTACAAATAAAATAAGTTATGTGTAAAGTTATTTATTGCCAGAGAAAGATTGTTTTTAATTTAGTGAAATATAATAAATACATTTACCCGTTTATTCTGTAAAAGTCACTTTGCAATAAGGTCACATTTGTTAACATTAGTTAATGCATTACATGAGCTAACAATGAGAAATATGTTTTTACAGCATTCATTAACCTTTTGTTAATATTAGTTAATGATTTTCATTAACTAATATTAACAAAGGTTAATGAATGCTGTAAAACATATTTCTCATTGTTAGCTCATAATGCATTGACATTCATGTTAATAGAACTTTGACCATGAAAATGTATACATTTTGAGATTAACAAAGATTGATAACTAAGATTAGTAAATGCAGTAGAAATATTGCTTATTGTTCATTGTAGTGAACTAATGTTAACAAATGAAACCTTAAAGTAAGTATAGTGTTACCAAATTACTTGTTAGGAATTTGTCATTTTTATAAACTATAAAGAAAACTCTTCCTTTTTCCCCCTACAACTAGCTTAAAGTATTCTGGTCAGGCAATATAAGAAAGGTTAGGCCATAAAACACAAGCTATTTAACAAGTCCCAGAGGGCCAATGAATTTTACAAAAAGAACTGGTTTCATGTGTGTGTGCACTTGTGTGGAACTGTAAACACTTTGTATTCAAATCCCATCTCTGAGCTCCAACCACAAATCATGTTTTTACTACAGCAGCACTTCCACACTAATGATCCAGATGTGTAGTCAGATGTTCTGTTTCCCATGCTAAATTTTAATTACCCAGTTCTGTCTAATGGCTGCCAAATGCAGACTGCTTGTTCACATAGGTAGACACGAGTGGATATCTAAATGCTTTAATGCATCTAACATGTGGGCATCATATCAGGAAACCAAAAATGTTAGGAGACCTCGCTCGATGTTGAACGTATACGTGTTGTCAGCAATGAGTACCTCCTCTTTGATGGACAGCTGGCTCAAGCCCATTGACCCACACGGAGAACGTGATTTCACCAAGTACCACATGTTCCTGGATCAACATCTTTGTTGATCCTGGATCAACTTTCCAATCAACCAATCAGATTTGAGGGACAAGTTTACAGTTTATGTCAAGTTAAGGCTTAGAACCAGGGTGAAGTACTTAAACATCAGTGCTATTCACCTTTCATTACCCTCTGATTTTAGGGAAAAGTTATGGGTAGGGGTAGGGATTGGGTAAGGACTACACTTTGGGACCGGAATTTTGATCCAGGATCAACAAAATAGGTTGATCCAGGACCATGTCTTACTTTGCAAAGTCACGGTGACCTGGCAGGGACCACGGGTAGTTCAGCCCGATGCGGGCCAGCATGTCTTTACTGACCACTCGACCGAAGTACAGATGCGTGACGGGCGTGTCCTCACGAAAGAAGGGCTCAAACTCCTCCTCGTCCAGGAAGAAGTATATGACCATCTTGACCTGGGGCGGATGAGTGCTTCCCAGCTGCTCTTCTTGATGGTGTGGGACTGGCTTTGGCCTGGGTTCTCGTTCTCCACGTCGATGCGCAGGTATACAGTTAGGGTGTGTTCTCTCACTTGGCATTTTGGTTCGATTAAAACGAACCCTGGTGCGATTGCTCTCTTAGAATAATTTGGATGATAATAATATAATAAAAAAAACAGATATTCAAGTGTGAGTATAAAGTGTGTGCCTTGTCAATGACATGATTTTAGCTTAGCTTTAATGTACTGTAAGTGAATTAGATTAATAAGACCAGCAATGGGTATTAAAAAAGAAACCTTGTCCATTTCGATTTCTTGTGGACTTGAAACCAAGTTCATATTCAGTCTAAATCCTAACCTATTAGTTTTGCCATGACTCAGACGGTGACGCACTGACCTGCAGGAGATACATGAGGACAGCTACTCATCTTCAGCAGCTTGAGCGTGTCACTGTTGTTGGCGACCAGTACCTTCAGGGAAGGGTCATCAACCGGTGTGTCATCCATTTTTATAGAGGATAGAGACTTGGAATTCAAAAACCCCACCGTCAGGGCTGAGACAAAGTGTGACTGAGAACAGACCAGACAAGACAGGCAAAGTCAGTGCCGCTGGCTTCTCCTACCCTTTACATGAAGCATTATTTCATTATTTCATGAGGTCACCCCGCTAAGCCGCTATGGTGCTATTTGTTTTGTAGGCATGCTGGTTCATTTTACAACATGTCAAGAACTATAAACATTAAAATGCAAACTTATATTCTTTAAATTTAATACATAAAGATGATGTTTATTAAAACAAATTAACCAAGTTTTTAAAGCATTTTTACATTGCTTTAAAAATAATAACTACAACAATACAGTACAGTGAAAATCATGTTTCATGTATTGTTGATTGTGTTATTTTTCTAGTTATCTATCATCAAATCCTCAGTAAGGTTAGAGCTTTTAAAGGGATAGTTCACCCAAAAAATGAATATTCTGACATCATTTACTCACCCTCATGTTGTTACAAACCTGTATGAGTTTCTTTCTTCTGTTGAACTCAAAAGAAGACATTTTGAAGAATGTTGGTAACCAAACAGTTTCTAGTCCATGGGGTCCAACAACTGTTTGGTTACCCATATCCTCAAAATATCTTCTTTTGTGTTCAACAGAAGAAAGAATCCCATGCAGGTTTAAAACAACTTGAGGGGGAGTAAATTATGTCAGAATATTCATTTTTGGGTGACCTATATGAGGCGCCACGTAGGATTTAAATCAAACTTCGCTTATCAATTACATACATAACACACGTGCATATACACCTATACATTACTCGCATATACATACATACTATTGGATGTTCAAAATACATATATGAAATACACGTGCACACTAATATGAAATCCATACCAGCCACCGCACTAACCATTATTTCTAATCAAAGGAGACGTAGGCCTGTTATCCAAGCATTCATTCAAAGGAAAGCCTCTACACTTGAGCGGCCACGTATGAGGTGTTTCTGGGTGATTTCACAGAGGAACTCTGTGGATGAATAGTTAAAGAACAGTTTAATAAAGAACTCTGTCATATGAGGCGCCACGTAGGATATGCATGGAAGTGTATATGTATATGCGAGTGTTTATAGGTGTGTATATGTATGTGCGAGTGTTTGTGTATATGCATGGAAGTTTATATGTATATGCGAGTATTTATAGGTGTATGCGTGCGTCAAGTTTATATGTATATGCAAGTTATTCACAAGTGTATATGCGTTCATTATTGTGAGTGCGTAAGTGTGTGTGTGATTGAGTGTGTAAGTGCGAGTGCGTAAGTGTGTGTGAGTGCGTAAGTGTGTGTGTAACTTAATATGTATTGGTATGGATTTCATATTAGTGTGCACGTGTATTTCATATATGTATTTTGAACATCCAATAGTATGTATGTATATGCGAGTAATGTATAGGTGTATATGCACGTGTGTTATGTATGTATTGATAAGCGAAGTTTGATTTAAATCCTACGTGGCACCTCATAGACCTATCCCATAATTTATACATTTAATTTAACTTGAGCTAAGTGGTCACTAAAACAGCCTTGCTCAAACATCATTTTGTGTTTAAAGATATTTCAAGCTAATTTTGGTTAGTTGAAGTGGTAATTAACTAATAAGTTCATCCTTTTCCACCAGTTTGACTCAATTAGGCCAATAGATGTTGCCTCTTTCTGGAATTTTATCCACTGGTTAAAAAAAGTGTTTAAAAGTGTTTAACCTCTTAACCAGCGCCCCATTTTTTGAGAATTTTCTGAAAATGACATACCCAAATACAAATGTCTGTAGCTCTTAAACCCTATGGTCCACATTCATAACTCTGATCTTTTTTTAAACTAGACACTTGAAACTTTGTTACCCAAGAGTCATTATTACTCAAAGTAGCATAGGAACAGAGTAAAACAAGGTAAAATTTACATGAATGTGACTCACGATTTCTTTTAATTAACTTCACTTAGGGAAAAAATGATCAGACTTTTATGTTAAGGGCCTGAAAACACCATAAAGATAAAATTGAATGTCTGACCATGTTTAGATTCAAATTTGAGGATGATACTCCCAAAAATGTAGTTACTGTAAGCTTTTATTCAAGAAAAGTATAGGCGTCCTTTCCAAAATGCAATTTGGAGACTCCAAATGGACACCTGGCACCCAAACACTTTACATAGGGAGTAAACACTATAGGTCTGCAACAACAATTCAGAACTGTTATGCCCTTCAAACCACACAAGAAAAAAACGATTTCAGCACAACATTTGAACATTTTACCAAAATTATCTTTATTTTGAACAATTCTAATAGCAAAAACAGTGATTTCTCACTACATGTATAGACATTGCAGAAGTGTTCATTTTCCAACTAATGTATAAAATATATAAAAAGAAAAACATAAATGTTTTAGAACATTTGTAATTACAAACGTGGTTTTTACCCAAATAAATTGCAATAAACTGATACTTATAATGAATATCCTATTACTTCCTGTTGCTCTTCGTCATTTTCTGCAAAAAAACCTTCAAATCTCTTCTGTAGTCGACGATCCATGATACAGATGCTCAGATATAAGCTTTAGAGTAAATCCGTGCATTTATGCAAGCTCCATGTGTCAAAACATCGCGTTTATGTGTCTGTTTACATTCTGTGTGTGCGTGCTGCGCGCGTGGCGAAAGCGCACATGTGAATGAAAACTTTGCGCAGTTGAATTTGACGAATGTGCTTGCATGAACTGTCTATCACTGCAATCGATTTTAGTTGGCTAATACTCCCATCAATCAAAACGTAGCTCAAAGGACATTGGATAGCATTATCCAGGCTTTTATCCAGTCGAAAGCCCAGCTGCGCGATGGACAGCGCGCTCAGCCTGTCAGGGACTCTCTTACTGTTTTGGTCTGTAACAGAGCCTGTGATTGAACGAGAGAGAAGTAGGATGTATCATTCGATCCGGAAGAGTCTAAACTGCGGGGGTGAGATGGCTTTTGAGTGTTGGAATATGGATTAGAATCGATATTTCTTTGAAAATGAACATGATGCGAACTCTATCTCGAAAACGCTCATGAAAACAAAGGAGGATATTTCATTTTTTTCCCCTATTTTTCGTTGTTTTGGATTAAAAAGTGGGATGCATTTTGAAGAGTGGACCCTTACATTGAAATGTATGCTGTTGTTTCTTGGATTCTTCCGAACTGATCTGAACCATACGAGATGAAAGATGAGTATAGCGGTTCATTTTGCTCATTTTCAAATGAGCAGTCCTTTTGCATTTTATTTAACCCTTTCCTCTCTGGTGTATTGATTGCAAAAACAAGTCTAGAACATGGTTCTTGGGTGTTTTAGCTTTCAAATGATGCATAGTTTATGATAGTCAGATGAATATTTGTTATAAAACAAAGCTTAAAAAAGGTAATAAAAGTATAGCCACGCCCTCGACGGCCCGCTCGCGGGCCGATGCGGGTTAAGAAGTTAAGCCATGAACCAATTCAGCCAGCTTACGAGGTGATTCACAACATTACAAAATTTGTTTTGAAGCAAAAATATTTGAAATTCAGACAAAAAAGGCAGAAGACTGTGAACGGCTTTAGTGAGGGAAAGAACTACAATCCCATGAAGCATTGCGAATGACAATCTATAAAAATTTAAAATGATGAATAAATATAAAACGATTAATTTGAAGTTGTTGATTATTTTTCTATAGAAACAATATATATATAAAGTGTATTGCAAAATTTGCATTTATATATATACACTCACCTAAAGATTAGGAACACCTGTTCAATTTCTCATTAATGCAATTATCTGATCAACCAATCACATGGCAGTTGCTTCAATGCATTTAGGGGTGTGGTCCTGGTCAAGACAATCTCCTGGGTAGGGTTGCACCAGCCGTTCGTAACTTCTTTCTTAAATTGTAACGTAAAGTCCACACTAGAGGCTTAGTAACTACTAGCTAGTTTGTAACTAACTCTGTACTTTATTCCGTTGCACCATTTGTTCGTGAGGTAGAACTTAGCCAGTAGGTCGTAAACTCTCCGTAAAGTAATGTGTAGTCGCATAATATGACGATTAACCTCGAAGAACCAATAGCAGCCTTCAAATACGTGAGCAGAAGTTGTGTTGAAATGCCGTGAATTTCAGTTTATCCTTCATTCTAACTTCTTTTGCCTCACGTTATTAATACGATACTTGATCATGAATAACATAAGTGTTTTTATATATAAATAACATTCAGAAACTGTATTTGAAATGAAATTAAGGATCAATAAATAAATATTCATACAAAAAACAAGAAATTACGTTTATTAATTATGACTGATATTTGACATGCACAACATGGACCGATGCACACAGCGGCGCTGTTTAGGACCTATTTTTTACAGTCTATGTTTAGGACGGGTTCGTGTTAAAGAGCTGCTAACAAAGTAATCTTTTCACACAATGTTCTCTCTCTTAAAATGTAAGCGAGTGTAAATGTCAGCATTATCATATATGTCTAAAGAATTGAAGTCTGTCAGGTAAAAGAAGAGCTTATTGATGCAGTTCAATCTGTCTGATATTTTATTCCAACCGTTACTCCTGATCGGAGCTGCCGTAAATATTTAGTTGGAACGTAGAGTTACGTTTAAACTAAGTTTAATGGTGCAACGGAAAAATATTTAGTAGTGCGTAAGTTGTAACTTAGTGCCCATTTACGTCAAAACTAGGCTAAGTTGTAACTTACGCACAGCTGGTGCAACCGGCCCCTGAACTCCAAACTGAATGTCAGAATGAGAAAGAAAGCTGATTTAAGCAATTTTGAGCGTGGCATGGTTGTTGGTGCCAGAAGGGCCGGTCTGAGTATTTCACAATCTGCTCAGTTACTGCCTGGGATTTTTACGCACAACCATTTCTAGGGTTTACAAAGAATGGTGTGAAAAGGGAAAAACATCCAGTATGCGGCAGTCCTGTGGGCGAAAATGCCTTGTTGACGCTAGAGGTCAGAGGAGAATGGGCCGACTGATTCAAGCTGATAGAAGAGCAACTTTGAATGAAATAACCACTTGTTACAACCGAGGTATGCAGCAAAGCATTTGTGAAGCCACAACACAAACAACCTTGAGGCGGATGGGCTACAACAGCAGAAGACCCCACCAGGTACCACTCATCTCCACTACAAATAGGAAAAAGAGGCTACAATTTGCAAGAGCTCACCAAAATTGGACAGTTGAAGACTGGAAAAATGTTGCCTGGTCTGATGAGTCTCGATTTCTGTTGAGACATTCAGATGGTAGAGTCAGAATTTGGCGTAAACAGAATGAGAACATGGATCCATCATGCCTTGTTACCACTGTGCAGGCTGGTGGTGGTGGTGTAATGGTGTGGGGGATGTTTTCTTGGCACACTTTAGGCATCGTTTAAATGCCACGGTCTACCTGAGCATTGTTTCTGACCATGTCCATCCCTTTATGGCCACCCATCCTCTGATGGCTACTTCCAGCAGGATAATGCACCATGTCACAAAGCTCGAATCATTTCAAATTGGTTTCTTGAACATGACAATGAGTTCACTGTACTAAAATGGCCCCTACAGTCACCAGATCTCAACCCAATAGAGCATCTTTGGGATGTGGTGGAACGGGAGCTTCGTGCCCTGGATGTGCATCCCACAAATCTCCATCAACTGCAAGATGCTATCCTATCAATATGGGCCAACATTTCTAAAGAATGCTTTCAGCACCTTGTTGAATCAATGCCACGTAGAATTAAGGCAGTTCTGAAGGCGAAAGGGGGTCAAACACAGTATGGTGTTCCTAATAATCCTTTAGGTGAGTGTATGTCATACACAAAAACACAAATATTTAAGCATTTTGAAAGCAAAAAGCGAGACTCAACAACTTGAATAAATCATTTTGCAGTGCTTCATAAACTGAGCGCTTCCTTTAGATCTGATTGGTGGAGTGTTCTGTACAGCATCATGGGTAATGTAGTTATCTCACCACAAATTCAGATGTTAAACAACTATTTAAAAAATAAGTTGAAAAAATGCAAACAGATGGCTTTAACAGAAGCATATAACATTGATTTACAACCTCAGAGCTCACATCTGTTTTTGTATAGATTATTTCCTCATCAGAATGTTTTGAGAAGCACCTCACCCCTGGCCTCCATTGAGAAAATGGCCCTGACCTCAACAGAGAACACGGAGTGAAATGACGCTTGAAGGATAATTCAGCATCCAGGTGAGGGCACTGACTCATCCAGATCTTTCTGGATGTTGTATAGTATGACGACAGTACACAGACATAAGGACACAAACAACAGAGCCATCTGGAAGCCATCACACGGATCTGATTAGTCCTGTGAATCTCCTCCATCAAGTTGGTACCTTTTGAGTACTGAGTTAAATAAAGAAGCACAGCTTTCTTTGTTTTTAAATCTTTTGTGACTAAGCAAGCCACAACGTCGAGCTTCAACTTGTCACTTTCAATACTAGTTATACAGCAGTGTTTCAAACTGTCAGGATTTTGTGGAGGGTGAAATGACATGGTACAGAAGTTTGACAGCTGAGACATTCTAGTAGTTTTGAACAAGCGACAAGTTTTAAAACAAATGTTTGATGTCACATTCAGCTGGTAGATGTCGTACGGAAAGGGTGAACAAGTTTGGTCATGCTGTGGAAATCAGACCCAGTGTATTACCAGTGCAGTTCACCAGCTGTGAGAGAATGCAGGCTATTTCTGCAGACTCTGTGCAGCTGTCAACCTCGAAACATATCTTTTATATTTTTAAATGACAATTTTAAAACAACTACATACTGCACATGCATAACATTTTGTTTTGTTTTTTAAACATCAAGATCAGATGGATCTTTACAATAATTTACCTTTCAACACTGTACTGCATTACACGAACACATTATACATTGAGGTTTTAAAACAGTCTTGAGCATTGATCATGCAAACTAATATTATGTGATCACATGTAAGTACATTACCATTCAAATGTTTGGGGTCAGTACATTTTTTTTAAAAGAAATTAATACTTTTATTCACCAAGATGAACACATTAAACAGATCAAAGTGACAGTGGTAGTGTGAATATTCTATTTATCAACAAACAATTTATTACAGTTTCCACAAAAAAATTGAGCAGCTGTTTTCAACATTGATAATAATCAGAAATGTGTCTTGAGCATCAAATAGAGCATAATAGAATGATTTCTGAAGGATCATGTGACTGAAGACTGAGTAATGATGCTGAAAATTCAGCTTTGCATCACAGGAATAAATGACATTTTAAAATATATTAAAAGAGAAAACAGTTATTTAAAATTATAATAATATTTCACAATAATACTGTTTTTACTGTATTTATGATCAAATAAACGCAGCCTTGGTGAACATGAGAGACTTCTTTCAAAAACAAAGAAATCTTACGACCCAAAACTTTTGATCTCTAGTGTACTACAGTATGTAGATAATTTATTTTCCATGAACAATGTGACAGTATCACCCTTTCTAAAAACTGACCTTGAAGCTCGCATACTGCAGGTGCTGAGCATGTCTTTTGATGATCTGCTGGACGAGAGGTGCGTGGACCTCAGGTGAGACGGATCTGGCTGGTTCGGCTCAAATTCAAATCTCCTCCAAAGATCTGGGATGTGAAAGATGTCGTTCCACTGGCGAAAAGCCCGGTCCACCAGTGACAGATAGTGGAATATGTGCATGTGAAGACCATGTGGACCTCACATTTCTTCAGTGGGTTTCTGCTGTGAGGTGGAAGACCCTGTTTGGACGTACACTGGCGTGACACTACTGTGTCTCTTGTGTCTGCCCTTTGAGGGGGTGAAGCTCTGACACTCAGATTTTCCCCCTTTTCATCCAGTTTAGTGGAAAAATCCCAGAATTCAGATTTCAGAGACAAAACTACAGTGGCCCCAAAAAGCATTTGGACATTTAGTGCAATGATGTTCATACAGCATGCAATAAATAACAAGAAGTCAAACTCTTCAACATAAGGAACTAATTCTAACACATTCTCAGTGCTGTCCTCCAACTGCTAAATACTGGAATAATGCTTTCCAACTTTTTGAACGGTATATTCAAGACACAGTGTAGGATATACAACGTTGAAAAGTCTGAGACCACACGGGAAATATAGGATTTATTTAATTATTTTTTTTAAAGCTGTAACTTACGGAGCCCCTATGGGACATGGGATAGGAGAAAAAAATAGTTTTTAAATCATTTGAGTTCTCTGTGTATTTCGAAAAATATTTTTTCCTCCCATCCAAAACAACATGAGGGTGAGTAAATGATGGCAGAATTTTCATTTTTGGGTGAACTATTCCTTTAAAGTAACTTTTTATACGTGAAAGACACTTTGCAACTTCATGGTAGAATTTTGTATTGTTGTATGAGGTTATTGAACAGAAACATCACAGAAACAGAGGACAAGCAACCCTTATTGATTCAGGGTTCAAGGTTTCTTACTGTATGGTACATACAGTTGATATCCTGCCAATAGCCATCATTTTCAATACAAAAACAACCCACAAACCTACAAAAACACACTGCATGTACTAAAGCATTGTGACTGTATACACAATATGCACAAAGATTAAAGATGTTAAACACATGCAAGCATATGTGGCATTAAAAATCACTTGTGTCTTCACAGAAAAGAATTGTAGCCTGTCATTATGAAATTGAACTAAACAGTGAATCTGAGGCACATTCCTCCTACTCAAAATTATTATTATTAATATAAATAATAATGTATATTATTTACTAATGGTGAATGTGAAAATATGGGCAAATGCAGGGTGTGCAAGACATTGCAGAGCCCTGACAAAATATTAATCCATTTGAAAACATAAACAGCCAATGATGTTATTTGTTACCCATAAATGCATTAAAAATGCTGACATATTTACCGGAATAAAAACGGGGATGTATAGGGATACAAGTACAGTGTATTCAATTCATTGTTCAGTTGAAAAAAAAACCCAACAACCTTATTTCCAAAAAACTTCCAGTAGACAAAAACTACATAACCCACTTTTGAAAGTTATATAGGACCTTTACAGTGCATGTCATTGCTCACAGTCTCGTTTTAATCCATGTAACTGTACAAGGTGTCTCTCTAGTCTCTACATAAAGACTATATCAGATTAGATTAGGTAGTAGAATTAAATTGACATTGCTTTTAAAGCAGCTTTGAAACAATCTGTAAAGCAATATAATTAAAGGTGACTGGTGACCAGTTACATGTCTGAAACACCACATTAATCTCGGGTGTTTGTTGAATGTCACATGTTTACTGTAAAATGTGTAGGTGAGTCTATTGTTGTAAAAAATAAAATGTTGGTTGCGATCTAGAGCGCCCCCTACTTCCAGCTTCATGGGGTCAACGCCCCAGTTCTAAACTAAAGTATACAGTCGGTCCCCCTAAAACCAAACCAGGTAAAACATTTGACCAGTGCATATGAAGAGGTTAAGAATAAGTACTTTGTAAATGCTGAAAGGTATGTTCTATATGAGTGTGTGTATGAATATAATCCGGAAGTAGGCTATTTACCATGTTGTCATTATCGTGTGACCCAGCATCAGTTGCGTTGCTTCACTTCCATTCACAAATCCTCTCCCGTGGCATCATGGGATAAAGTGTCCATCTTATGCACACTTGCCGGAAAAAGTAGGTCATCCAGATACTTTTTGCCTACACTTTTATGAGTACTGTGAATTCAGACATACTTCTTTTGTCACATAGGCCTACTGTATTTCGCCTACTATGCGATTTCGAATGCAGCCATACAGTAGTGTGTTTCAGTTTAGTTGGACTCTAGACTCTGACTCGACAAAGGTCAAGCTCACAAGACAGGACTGTAAGACTACTACCAGAATTGATGTGCTGCTCACACTTCACAACAAGGTTTCATTGTCATCTGTTGTCGTCTTGTCATAGCACACATTTGGTCAAGAGGCAGTCCTGGCCAACAGCGAAAAAAAAAGAAGTTTTTCTCACATAAATTCACACGAGAAATTGTGCAATGTGTGTGTATTGGATAAATTTCTCCCTCTGATAAATAAAATGTACCCATTGAAGGCTGGCAATAAATGTCAGTCTGAAATTTAATATGATGTAATAGAAGAACAGTGAACACATAAATGACTAACAGAGTTGCATATGGCAAGTATTTTGCTTGAAATATTTGTATTCTTCATATTACTTGTATGACTCGTGAAGTAAGATAGGGGCCGGTTGCATAAACTGCAGACTAGACATTAGGGTTTTTTTTCTCTTCAAGACCTAATGGTCCTAACTCTTTAAAGTAGCTTACCGGTAAGTTGCAAAAGGTAGATTGGTCTAATTTGAATGGGAAAAGTAAGACTTTACTTCTTAACTAACAGCAGCTAGTTGGTAGAACTAGTTCTTAATACACAGTCATAACATAGTTTATGCAACTGGCCCCTGGTGTCCTAACATTCCAACACGCAAAGCGAATTGCTCACGTGACTGGGCAGAACCCAATACACGCAACCGCGGGGATTCACTGGAGAGTGGAGATTGTGTTGCGTGCCTCGGCTCGAAGCTTCAGTTCAGTGTCAAACGTAACATCACTAGGTTTTTTCACATACAAAGCTGTCTGGGACACCAAAATCCAGCCGAAAGTGTGAGCTTGCCTTAACGTGGACGCGAATCTAACACTAGTTCACTACAAACTTCTCATGCGTGCTGTAGCTCCAAGACTACGCATTACTGAAGCCCTTGAATCTGCCACGACGTCACTAACGTATGCGCAGTTTGCAGCGGCTGTTGATGTTCTCGAACACACTGGGGAAGATTTGCGTTGTGGTCCGCGCTCCCGGGTGATGATAGCCCAATATTCCTCATGGATTTAAGAATCTCCTGCTGGACACACTCTCCTGCTGTGTTTAGTCACTCATCACACATGTTTGGTTTGTGTTTTGTTCGATGTGGGCAGGTTCTGAGGACGTGAGGTGCTAAAGGCTGCTAGAAATTAGGGAAAGTATATGTTAGCCAGCTAACTCAACTGCTGTCAGTGTGAAAGTGATAGTAAAACTTCCCTATCAAGTGAGTGCAACGTCCTATGAGGATTAAACCTGCTGTTCCAGTGACTCTGGATCATCACTTCGCATGAACGGTAAAGAAATCAAGCTGTTTTGTGCTCTTCACGTCTGCTGTTTGTTTGTTAGCTTCGGGACAGAGAGCTCAAACGAGTAACACATCTTCTCCCTAAATCTTTGCCTGAAACAGATCTTTTACTTAATTTACTTACTAATGAAAATATTTCTGAATGTTTGTAAATAACATTTGATGACGCGTCAAGACTACTCGCAGTATTTCACATGTAAGTTAACTTGTATCACTTTTGTATATGGTCAAGTGTTGATTATCGATAATTAATCCGCTTCAATGTTCAAAATGTCGCTTGAAGTTTAATAATGCTTTTGTAAATGAATGCTTGTATTGATAGTTCTTGTTGAGTAATGTAGTTAACTAAGGTTAAACAAATGAAACCTTATTTAAACCTTATTGTGTTTCGGTAAATGATAGGCTAATTCTTATGTTTCCTAGATCATCCAATGTCATCAAGTGAGATCAAATATCCACTTTGAGTTTATTTGGAGTTTTGTTTATGATTTAGAAGTCTTGTTTTAAAATATAGAAACTCATGCTTGTGAAATAAGAATAGTGTAATATTGATTTATTCTGTTGTACGTTGCCTTAGTCACGTTCACACATTATGTCTTCTGGAAGTGAGGCTTTAACTCAAATTTAATTTAAATGGGTGTCAGTAACATTTAGAGGGTGTTTATTGATTTAATGGTTGTTTATTAAGAAAGCCAAGTCTGTTTTATGAGACTGTTATTAAAGTCTTGTTAATGTGTTGTTATGTTTCAGACTAGCAAAACGTACGTAAAAGTAGCATCTTTTGGTCATGCATCTTGGTAACACCATGGTACCTTGAACATATCTTGCTTTATATTTTCATTAGGGCTGTCAAATCGATTAATCGCATCTAACATAAAAGTTTGTGTGTGTGTATACATACTGTATACACACACAGACATGCACACACACATACATATATATATATATATATATATATATATATATAATATAAACACAAACTTTTATGTTAGATTATGTTAGATGCGTGATTAATCAATTTGACAGCCCTAATATTCATGTAATTGTTTTTCATAGTTTGCTTTTGCATTTCAAACATCCAGCAAAACTGTCCAGAATCCCTGTCTAAAGTGTTTGCAAGCATGGGAATGACTGATGTTTGCTCTTGTGGGTCAGAAAGCTGCTTGTGTGTCCACTGTCCAGTGATTGACACTTGCATGTTATTTTTGCCTAATGCCTACACATTTGTACATACCCTGTTTTCTCTTATGTTCCAGAGGAGGAATGGCGCTGAGCACTAAACTGTGTCGTGTGACTCTGGGGGTCGAGGGTATGACCTGCGGCTCCTGTGTTAAGTCCATCGAGGGCCGGATTGGGGGTCTGCCAGGCGTCATTCATATTCAGGTGAGAGTGACTTTAATGCCACCATGTCAAATAAACACAATAATGAAGTGAATGTAAATGTGATTACCTCTGTTAGGCTATTATCTTTATCTGATATATACATTTTTCAAAGAATTATTAATTGTTGCAAATTTGCTTGGTCGATTAACAAAAGAGTTAACTCTT